GTTATATTACCGATTGAATTCTTCAAAATTGGTGAACATTTGTCGAGAAAGCACATAAAGTCAGCCAAAAACGTTCTGAAATTTGTCTTAAAATCATCAAATCTCCACTTTCAAATCCATAGCTTTTTCTTAATACAAACTATATGTTGTTGATACATAAATTTCCGTTTTAATGAAGTAAAATGATAATAAGGTCACCGAATTTGTTTCAAAGTAGTGTTCTATGTGAAAAAATACCACATAACGTCGAAATAAGCGTGGCGTCATCGCGTTGTAGGCCGTAAAACGCCGATTTTTGACGTTTTTTGCTATTGACTAGGTAACAGATTGGTTTATACATCATAAACAAAGTCGGTGACCATATGAATTTTTTATATCATAAGAACGGAAATCAACAACATATAGTTTTTTAAGAAAAATCTATGGACTTGCAATTGGTGATTTTATGATTTCAAGACAAATTTAAAAAGGTTTTTTTGGTTATTTTATGTGCTTTCCACACAAATGTTCGCCAATTTTGAAAGAATTCCATCCGCAATATTTCAGACAATATAAATAAACTCATAGACACAAGGGTTGAAATTTTGTACGCCAGACGCGCGTTTCGTCTACAAAAGACTCATCAGTGACGATCGAATCAAAAAAGTTTAAAAGGACAGATAAAGTACGAAGTTGAAGAGCACTGAGGACCCAAAGTTCCTAAAAGTTTTGCCAAATACAGCTAAGGTAATCTATTCCTTGGGTAGGAAATCCTTTGTATTTTGGAAATCGAAAGTTTTGTAAACAGTTAATGTACAATTATGACAGGTCAATGCATTGTTTTTTTTTCGATTTTAAGTTATAATTCATCGAGCCAAAGTTGCATACAAAACTTTATCAAAATCTGTGACATAGCCCATTTACTGTAACTTGACCTTAAAGGGTCTTTTCCCATAAGAAATCAAAAGGCTATCAAAAAAGTTACTCCGGTAATACTAGTTTTTAAACGTACTTATTACAAAATGCTACAAATTCTCCGTTGATTCCTCTCGATGATACGAAGGAATAGAATAAGAAAAATGATAAAACAGGAGTGATGATGCTTTGATTGGGGAATAATTTTGAAATGCAAGTATAAAATAAACATTTAACCCTGAGTGTATGCTCTGTCTTTTTCCTTGTATATAAATTACAAGCACCACCCTTTTCTCTGTAAGATCAATGTCTTTATTCTATCAAAGTTTTTATTAAAGTGCATGTATTCTTGCTATTAAAACACAATCTTACTAGAAGAGAAGTTAATATGCGCCGCCCCACTACTCTCATTTACCACAGAAGGATTGCACATATAAACTACATTCGATATGTAATACTCCCATCACACTAGGACCACGATCCCGCTACGACCTCAGAAATAATGGAAACTTTTAGTAAGATCGTGGTGGTCGTAGTAAGGACGTACCAAGGTCTTGATGATCGTAGAGGTCCACGACCAACTTTGAACAGAGTCAAAACATTCGTAGTAGAGTCGTGGCCAAAACTAGTCGTAGTAGAAGCGTAGGAAGGTGTAGTTAGGACGTAGTAAGAGCGGGATGGGTGTATAGGCATCGTATTGGAAACGTGGTGCAATCGGGAAGCTAATGGAAAAGATTTCGCTGCGACCTTACTACGATTTGACTGCGACTATCCCGATTTCACTACGTCTTTATTACGCTCCTACTACGATATTGATACGATCGTACTACGATGAGGAAGACAATAGTACGTTGCTACTACGCGCATGCCGTCCTTATAACGATCTCACTACGATACTACTACGTCCTAGTCACGATATTGCACGACCTCATTCTGTTGATATACAAAAACGGATGCAATACCTTCTACTGGTTCAATAAAATTGAGAATGGAAATGGGGAATGTGTCAAAGAGACAACAACCCGACCACAGAACAGACAACAGCAGAAGGCCACCAACAGGTCTTCAATGCAGCGAGAAATTCCCGCACCCGGAGGCGTCAACCATAGATACACATGAGAGTCGTTGTTCGATCGTGGTAGACTCGTATTGAGATCATGCAAGTTGTGGTAAGGTCTTATTAGACGTAGCAAGAGCGTGGCAAGATAGTAACTAGAACGTGTTACTATCGTAGCGTAATCGTAGCAGGATCTTATCAGGATCATAGCAAGGTCGTGGTATGAACGTGAAAACTATGAAATATTGAACATTCAAGCCGACCATACCACGATCTCACCGCGACCTTATTTTTTATAGATCGTAGTGGGATCTTCATGGTCTTGGTCTAGTGTGATGGGGGCTTAACTTATAGCAAGAATAAATTAAGTAAAGGAAAATAAGTAAAAACAGTAAACAAATTTTAAAAGAAAATATCTCTTTCATAGTAAAAAATAATGGTGTTCATGCTCCAACTGTTTTTGTGCAACAGCTATATAAATTTAGTGTTCTAGTTACATAATCTTACGTACACTTAAAAATTTTCAATTTCCTTTTATTTACCTATAATCGTATATATATAGGTATGCAATTCATAATATTTATGAATATTGAGACAAGTACACCTTGTTGTCTGAATGAATTTGATAAATGTTTCGAAGTGAAAGAACGATAACTCTTGTGTCAATTGTCTGATTCTAAGATAAACTAATTTAGTTGTTGATTGGTCATTAACACCCAGTGACAATTGTTCAATTCATATGGAGGACAATGACATATTTGAAAATTTTACAGTAAAGCTTTGAAAATAAAGAACGAAATGAATATGCGAAAATGTCTCTATAATTTAATATGTAGTATCGTCTTGTACCAAATGTTTAATTCTGAAAACACTGTCTGAAAATATGCGCGCTCATTAAGGTTTTTGATTGGTTTATCTCGTCAGAATTGATCGACACATTATAGGTAAACAATTTATAGATTTGTTTTCTATACACAGATGATTGTTCCTCTGGTTTTACCGAGACAATCTGCGTCTTCACTGGATATCAACTTGTTCCTGGATGTTGACCTCTACGTAAAAAATGATTCGTCCCGATTTCTTCTATGTTCGAATTCTCTTATTTCTTCATTTTGTGTACGGCTTATAGGATAATAACTGGGTGCCGTGTGTATCGTTATCTTTTGGTGTCAAAACGTTTATATTCATGATGAAAGTTCCCACATGATGAAGCATTACTTCCGAAAGACACACCGAACGCAACAGAATGCATCAAAAATTCAAATTAAAGTATTGCGCCATCTTCTTGTATTCTCTCTGTATCATCTAATTGAGAAACAGCATCATGTGAATGCAGAAAAAAAATGCATGAGATAGCTTGTTTACTAAGTAAATTAGAATGACATGAATTTGTTGAAAGTGATAGACTATATCTTATTAAGACAAGTCTTTGTTGGTATTTTAAGGTATGCTTATGGTTTTGTTTGTTTGTTTTTGGTTTTTTTTTTGGGGGGGGGGGGGGGGGCGGGGGCAATTACCGTTTTTTTTTTGGCAATTACCATCAACAACAGAAATTAACTAGGAAAAAAAATGTCAAGAGTCTAAGCTCGACATTTTTTGTTGCGAACTAGTTATCCTGAAAAGCTTCTAATTTAATATGGTAGTTTGTTTAACGTTTGAAGAGGAAATCTTCGCGGAAATAAGGAAATGTGTTTGCCACATTTATGAATACTGTAAGTTAAAAAATATAGGGATAATTTATGAAATGGGGCTATTAAAAATCAGGAGTGGAGAAAGTCATACAACATCCTGACCAAAAAGAAAAATAAACAGACAGACAGCAAGCAGTTCACAATTACCGTTTTTTTTTTTTTTGGCAATTACCATCAACAACAGAAATAAACTAGGAAAAAAAATGTCAAGAGTCTAAGCTCGACATTTTTTGTTGCGAAGTAGTTATCCTGAAAAGCTTCTAATTTAATATTGTAGTTTGTTTAACGTTTGAAGAGGAAATCTTCGCGGAAATAAGGAAATGTGTTTGCCACATTTATGAATACTGTAAGTTAAAAAATGTAGGGAGAATTTATGAAATGGGGCTATTAAAAATCAGGAGTGGAGAAAGTCATACAACATCCTGACCAAAAGAAAGAAAAATGAACAGACAGACAGCAAGCAGTTCACAGTACATAGTTTATGCAGACAAAGATTGAAAACCGTAACCTTACCAAAAACTGGAAAGTTGCCTCGTTGGTAAGGATACATTCAAAGATATATGTATTTACAAAATATGGTGAATGCTTATTTTGTGTCATTCTTTAGTGTTTTAAAATACGATATCAATAGGAATAAAGTTGTTTGTGCATCAATGTATTTGATACACTAGCTACAAAAAAATACATATCAACGATTTATAAAAGATTAGAATCTTGTGATCATTACACTGTTTGAGTATATCAAAGACGTTCATGTTAAATATTCCTTTCACTGGGACATCCCTATTGGATTTTCCTTTCATTGCTAACCATTTATGTAAATGAAGCATTTTCCCGCTGTCACCATATGCATAAAAGTGCAGCTATGTATAAAACTTCAATGTAACTTGCTTCACATTATCCAATTCAAATAATTTTAAATGCTAATTTCTCCTTTTTTAAATCAAGAAAATATTCAAAGGGATAAAATTTCATTCAATTGATATACTAGTACTTATTTTTTACCGTTTAATAAATGTAAATCCTCACATAAAATAATAATCTTTTTGGCTTGTCTTGACAGTTCTTTCGCTTGATAACATATTTTCATATTGGATTTAAAACATTCAACGTGAAAACTAGATGATATTGATGGTCGACTCTTAAGTTAATGCCTTCTATGACTAATTATTACGTTAATTTTATCCGGTGTTTGCTGTGAAATCACTTCGGACAAGGGTGAATAAATATAGAAAAACTTAATTCAAATTACTTAACAATTCATAATTTGATTTAAATCCCGTCATTTTAATCTCGCATGTTTAAATATAACAAATTATCGTCCCTTACGGGGTAGAATTGCCAATCTATTTTATTGACGAAAATTCAATCGATCTACAAAAGAAATATGAACATTTAAATGACACATTTATAGCCATTTTTTGTTGTTTAAAAGATTAATGAGGATTGTGTGCTGCATTGTTTACAGTTGAAATACTTTATCCCCTTCTTGGCACTGGGGTCATACATGGTCAACAATAGTTGCTAGGGTGCAAAAAGACGCAATATCCACTCTCAGGTAATGAACGTTTTACCTGTCTGTGTGTCGCTCAAACAATAGATGTGTATTCGGGATGGATAAGATTTCATTTAAACCAACTGTATGGTGAAAACATCCTGGAGTTGCTTTTTATTTCATTATTTAAATCTATTGTAAATGTTATGATTTGGAATAGTAGCAACACGTAAAATGCTACTTTATATTTTCTGGATATATTAAAATATGTGCAATATATTTAAATCTACTTGTGTGATTTATAGTTAAAAAAAAAGTCAGGAATATAATGTCTGAGGGGCCAGAACTTCGTGGTGAGGGCCTTGGAAGACCCTATACATCTGGGACCTTTCAATCAAAACTAGATCAGTTTGCGGAATTTATAAACAGTGTGACTTTCCAAGATGTTGAAGCGACACCAGAAGAAAGAAGGCAGATGATTACAGGTATATATATAACATACCACTGTTGGTGTGATAATAATTGTCAATAAAATCTTTTGTAGTCATATTGATTGTCAGACTTTTTATCATGATATCTTTGTATTAGTCGACTTGTATAATAGATGGCATTCATTCTTAAAAGGGTCAAGTCTGTGAATCGGAAGCTTAGTTACTGCATGAAAAATTCTGATGAGAATTGATTTTGTGTTAACGTAACGTAAGCTGACTAAAATCCATTGTTTTGTAAAAAGACGTGAAAGTTATCAGTATAACTAAGACATCATGTTCAATTCGAACATGACATTTGAAGCTTTTTCATCTTAAATTTGATTTCTATCTCTTCGATGATACTTAAAAAGCGTGAGAACATTTCCAAACAATGGGAAGTTAGCTTGGTTTTTACAGCATTTTACATGAGAAAATCAGAGACGTTGTCACAAAATTACATGATTATTTAATAAAAACTGCTAGGATGTTAACCTCTCGCGGATCTCCACCTTTCTTTGATATTTTGTAACCCCAGCCCTGGGTCCGATATATATATTCATGCATTATTAGTCCCAGCTCAGCCTTTCTCGACTATGAACTAAAAATGTCATTACATTCAGTAATTTTTTTAATTGATTTGTGATTGCTTTTGGTCAGTGCAAAAAGGTTGTTGCGCGACGACAAAACTAATCATGTTATTCAAACAAACTCAAATATACTTCATATAATAATAGTATCTATACTTCATACAGGCATATTCGTTTCTTCCCAAACATTGTTAATGAAAAATCCAGAGAAAAGTTCTACTTTGTTATGCTTGTATTAAAAAAACAATCTCACGGAAATATCTTTATTTTTTGCGTGGTTTTGATGTATCAAAACGTTTTTAATTAAAAAATGTCGTTTTAGAAAATGTCAATTTGAATTTCAGCAGCGAACATCTTAATGTTGTTATAGTTTTTGATGTTTATAAAAGAATTGATGTCTCTGATTCCACCATGCATACTTAGAACTAAGAGATCTGTTGATTGAGGAGCAATCACGATTCCATTATAACGTCATTTTTATCATTAATTGTATTAATTCGTAAAACTATTTATTGAAATAATGCCACTAATTTGTGAAGGATAAAAGCTTTTTACAGTTTAAACACAATAAAATGAACAAAGAAATTAAAAGATTTAATTTTGTATACAAACTAATCAGTTAAGATGTTTAAATGGATCTTACGTTTTTATCTAAACAGTTAAAAACCTTTCTGATTGCTGACCCAATAAGCCATACCACAGATCGAATATCGTGTTCACAGAAGTGATGTTTTATTTGACTTAGTATTTTCCGTTAATAAAGATGATATGAAAAAGTATGAATGATATAAAGTCGAATGTATTTCTGAATAAAAAATGTGTAAGGGGTCCCGCGGAACCCTGTGTCTCGCCTACGATTGCTGCTGTCAGTGTAAAAGTGTAATTTTGACTTAAAAAGTGAGTCCATTTATCAATAAAATACAGTATTAAAAAAAGATTCAAACTTTATCTTGAGATGCTATATCTTGGTCTTTAAGAATTAGCTTCTGTCCAAGTTTCATCACAATACATGAAAGTTTACAAACTTATCATGTCAAAATAATTAAATCACAGACTGTCTGTAAATGTTAACCGTAAGTAAAAAACTAAGTCCATCTATCAGAAATATACTGAAAATTAAAATGTATTTTCAAAAGTTTGCTTCAAACATTATCTCTTAATCATAAAAAAGCTTCTGCCAAAGTTTCATAAAATTCTATGAAGGTTTCACAAAGTATTTGACGTGTAACAAACTTTAACCCCAGACTGTATCTACTTATTAACTGTACAATGAACTAAATCCATTTATCAGTAAAATACGGAAAAATGTAAATAAATGTTTTCAAAATTTTGCTCTGGATACTGTATTTTGGTCGTAAACAAGCTTCTGTCCAAATTTCTTAAAATTCCATGAAGGTTTGACAAAGTTATTGATGACTGAAAAACTTTAACCTCAGACTGAATCTGAATTAAACTGTAAAAAGGATAAGTCCTTTTATCAGTAAAATATGGAAAAATGAAAATAAATATTTTAAAAATTTTGCTCTGGATACTATATTTTGGTCTAAACAAGCTTCTGTCCAAATTCCATAAAATTCCATGAAGGTTTGGCAAATTTATTGATTGTAAAAACACTTTTACCACAGACTGAACCTAAATGTTGACGCCGACGCCGACGACGGAATCTAGGATCGCTATGTCTCGCTTTCGAGACATAAATGTCGCAGGCTCGACAAAAATGAATAGCCTATTTCTGCGATGTTCATCATCATCGTCATCGTCGTCGCCAAGTCGTGCAGCTTTTATCAAGGGAAATTGGTATATAATAAGCTCAAATTGATTTCTATCCAGTACTTTTGAATTGGTCCGAGTGACAGCGCAGAGTCTGAGCGAGCCAAAAGGTGCCTTTTGTCGAAATACTTATATTTTACAATATTACATACTGATAGAAAACGAATAACTGTTGATCTAATTGCTTTCTTGGTCCAAAAGAGAAATTAGTAGTTTAAAAAAATACATGCTTTCGTTTCAAAGTTTCAAATACGGAGAATTCTCCTTGGCTTGTGCTGACTGAAAGAAATGAAAGAGTATTTCTAAATCCGATAAAATAAAATAACGTTACCTACCTACCATTGAGTTTTCAGTATTGCATTGTTTACAATTGACCACATCACAAGTCATGAAATGGATCCTAGATGATTGTCATATACATTTCTGAATTTTAATTTGTACTGTGCATCATGACATGAATGCTTATTTTTTACATTTCAGAGTCATTGCGCTTTGATCAGTTTTGTGACAGAATAAGACAGCTGTTTGGATCGGATATAAAAAATACAGATTTAAAAGCAATATATAGAAAAATATCTACAAATCCTGATGCTAAAGTTGATTGGAGCGAGGTGTGTATTCATCAGCCGGGAAACACTTGGTTGATCTTGGTTGTTCCCGTATACGTTTTATTTCTTAGTTTAGTGACTTCCGATAAGCATTTCACCCCCATAAACAAGAATATGTAAACATCTACAAAACAGGTATGAGAGTTCCAGGGGATTGACGTAAACTAAAGGCCGTCGTAATCTGAAGAAATTCTTACCTTTTTTGAAAATACATTTCCATTATTTTTTATGTACCACGCAGAATCCGTATGTAAGCATGCCAGAAAAAACCAATACTGACTTTTACACATCGACGTGAAGGCACCATCACTTTATTGACGGTTCTTGGTAGCAGATTTAAAGCTCTCTGTAACGCTTGTTGCTCGCAAAATTGTGTGTTCTAGATGATTCCTAGATGGTTCCATTCAATTATTGTGGACACAAAGAATGAGTTTAATGGTGCTGTGTTCTACTGGTGGGACTATATATGTTCTACTGGTGGGACTATCAATATACTTAGTACTGTTCTTCACCTGTTTTTCTACTAAGAGGATGGCTGAAAGAAGAGCCATATAAAGAATTGTGTTATATGTCTCTGCTGAATTGTCTGGATCAATACGATAATAGCAGGAACCAGCCCCCCAACCACATTGTACAAAATTTTTAAGCTTTTGGCTTGAGTGTCTATGTTGTAGTTTCTTGGAGTTCTAGTTTGGCAAGCATGTTTGTTATGAATCTATCTTCCCTTGTTTTGTAATTGCTTGTAATGAACCTTGCTGCTTGCCATTGCATTCATTTTAGCTTTTTGGCATCTAGCCCCTTTGATCGATAATGCTTTTTTCTAAATCTCAAGTTTCTCTCAATTTATTTGATTTTTTTGCATAAAATCTACTAAAAAATTTTCTGCTCACTCTGCTCTGGGGTTTATATTCAATTTTATAAAATTACACCCCCCCTCCCGGCCTGTTGAAAATCCTGGATCCACTCCATGGTTGATATCTGCGCTACACTGTAGGAAATTAGTGCTGCATATTATAATAACTTGTGGACTGGAATAGTGAAATGTTTGCAGTTTTCTTACATTCCTATGGACATATCTTAGATTCCTTTTGAGAAAACCAATAGAATTTGCTTTGTTTCAGAATCAACTCAAGTAAATCATCATATGTTAGACAGGCCCAATAATTATATGTAATACATGTATATGTGTATATTGTTACAAAATCTACCTCATATACTGTAGCATCTTAACTGGCACTTGTTTCTGTTACAAGAAAAACAAAGATAAGAAAGTTCCCTATACTTAAATTATAATACATGTACCACAAATTACATGTCAGCATTTCATGAACAAAAGCTCTGCTGGGAGGTTTGTAATATTTTTGCCTCAAGGGATATGGTAGTCAGAGAAATTACAAATGTTATGCTTAGTGTGACCTTAATCTATGTTAAAAAACAGTTCCAATAAGTCAACCTTTTTTGTACTGGCAAATGTTGACAAGGACCACCAAAAATTAAAAATGTTTTATACTATACATAACTGCACAAAATGATAAATAGGCCTCAAGAACTGACAAGCTAAAAAAAATGAAATTGAATTGATTTTTTAAGTTACCACCCACTGATATTTAATGACTCAATATTATATTACCAGTTCCTGTATATAATATCTTTACTTTGAATCTGACCCACAGTGGTGCATTTGCCGTTAATTTGAGTGTTACATTCCATATATTTTTATTTCTTTTGTTCTTTCCAGTAAAAGAAAATTATCTGTTTTTCTGTAATTATTATAAACAACTTGTTGTTTTAAATATAAGATATGTACATGTATATGATATTACCTATCTATTCTAACGTAGGTAAAAAGTATATCTTTACTGATTATCTTAAATGCTTTTTACAAAGGTCTAGAAACAAATGTCACCAAATACTTTAATTAACTGCATTGGTTTGAGAAGGTTTCTTCAATTCGTTTTCTAATTAGACATTTTTTCAATAAAGTCAAACTTCTCTTTCCAATCACAGTGTGAGTGAGGTCCCATTGTTCATTCACCAAAGACCAAATTAAGATATCACTGGATTAGTTTGGCTTTTATAAGCTGTATGGGGTTAAATGAAAATTAGATTTTATTGATACTGTATCAGCTCTTTCTGAATAAGGATTAAGGTAGTATTACAAGTACAGATTTATTGGTTTCTTTGGAGGTGATCATTCAATATTGGCAATCTGTGAAGCACAAAAAATAATAACAAAAATTCGATAAATGTTGAACTTATCTTTTTTGTGAATTTGTTTAATTAAGATATATCAGATAGAAAGCTGCATATGAAATATATGAACCTTGGTAAAAAACTTAATTACCCAAAATAAACATTCAGTATAAGGTCATGTTAAAAAGAAATAGTTGTAAAATGTCAAGTAAAAAATTTGAATGATAAATTCTTAAGTAATTTGAGTTATAAAAGATCAGGATTTGAAAAAAATCAATTACATGGATGTTTCATATTAAAAAAGCATGAATAATTATATTCTAAGGATTTAAAGAGCAATCACATATCGAATAGTCATGAAAACAGAGTTAATATATAAAGATCAACAGTACATATAATCGTTAATAAAAATGTACATGTATTCAGTCTGAAAATCTTAAGATTAAACAGTTTTAGAGGAGATATATTGTACATTTCATGTTTCAAGGAATTCATTGAAATAATCCCAATTTTATAAAGATGTGCACTTTATTTGTTATTCCACAAAAGTTGGCATGACTCAAATAAAATCTTGTCATTATGTCAATTATTTTCATACAGTATTTCAAATCAAAAGGAAAATTAACTTGAACATTGTGAACCAATTTCAATGACTAAATAGGAAAAATAGAGGCAATGCAGATCCCCCTTTGAACTTTCAACTATACCTTAGATTTTACTCCCCCTTCCTTGAATTTCATAACACATACCACTGTTTGTTTGTTTTTTTGTGTATGATTTAGTTTTCACTTGATATTTTAAAAGAGAGGCGAATAATACCAAAGGGACATTCAAACTCATAAGTTGAAAACAAACTGATAATGCTGTGGCAAAAAATGAAAAATGACAAAAAGACAAACAACAGAATGCAAAACACATCATAGAAAACTAAAAACTTCAAGACAATATTGTATTGTTAAGCAAAAAAACATTTTAAGCTTCACTCAGCCTTCGTGCTTAACTTTTGAGTCCACAAGCCAGAAGCTCAATTTTTGAAAAATTTTAGTTGGATTCTGTTGGCTTGTAGAGAAGAATTTTACAAGCCCGAAAGCACTTTTACAAGCCAATGCCGTAGGACTTGTGGTTAAGCGTGAAGACTGTTCACTTAATATTTATGTCTAATGTTAAGCAAAGAACATTACAGGAAAAAAACTTCATATATGCAAATGTATGTAGTAAAACACACAATATTCTACTTATTACATCAAGCGGAACCACATTCACTTGTAACATATATACTTTATTTTGTGTATGTGTCTTCATAAACAATAAAAGGTTCTTCAGTTAATCTATTTTATGTTATCACCATGATTACAAATGAAATGTGAAAAATTATGTGAAGTTTTTATATTTGCAGCTTTTTGGATATTTCCAATCTAATAATGATGATGAAGAAATTGTTGTTGGTGAAGAGGTCAATGTATTCACAGTGTCAAAAAGGAGGAGGGTTGGAGAGGCAGCTGGTAAGTTACTTACCTCCCCTGATAAGGACTAAGGCAATTTAAGTTTGGCTGAGATGCTGATACAATAAAGGTACAATATCCCAGTCCCATTCAATGATTGCTAGTTGTGATATCCTTGCTACAGTATTTGTATAAGGTTGAAGTTTTAATTAGGCAGTTTGTGTTTTCAACTGTACCTTAGGACTAATGTGGAGTCTAATGCTGTAGATGGTAAAGAAGATGGCATTGTTATTCCAATCTCATTAGAGCTGTTCCAGTAAAACATACATCATCATCCTTGGACCCAGTAAAGGCACTTTGAAAATTGTGTAACCATACATTAAGACCCTAGTACAAAATGTATCCATTTTATTTTTTAAAAAAACTGTGATGTACATGCAATTAATAATGGAATAACCCATAAATCAAAACGTTTGATCATGAAATTTTGTTTTCATGTTGAAGTAGTTTTAAAACATGCATGACAAAAACGAACCAATAACTGTACAATATATCAGATGTGTATAATTTTTTGCACATAGTTTGACAGGCTTTGCATGCCTATGTTCTTTGTCCTACATTTTGTAATGCAAGACTTTGTCATACATACAGATAATGTCTGATAATCTTTTGGTGTACCATAGAATTGAGAATCAGGGTCAGACAGGGGACTTAAATCCCATATTAGTAATACAGATCCTTGTGAGTTATACTGTATACATCACAGGAATAATTTGTCGTCTGATAAGATTCATGTCACATTCCTGACTACTATGATGAATGCTATGAATAAAAACTTCTCTGTTGATAAGGAATATATCTCATTCAAATGAAACACATATCAATTAATTGTTTGAAATTTGAATTTAAAACAAATTTCAAGTATGTTTGGTGTGATTAATTTTTCAAAGTACACTTAAGATAAGGGTGTCACTAAGAATTTAAAACAATACTGTGTAAACATGAAAATATCTGTTACTCTTAATTTAAATCAATATAATCGAACAAGCATATGCATGTAAAAAATGAGAAAGAATTTTAATTTCAAAGTATAAATTCACCTAATAATATAATTGCAGAAATAATGATTCAGTATGCTGCTCTATAATATTTTGACATCATTAACTTTTTCTATATGAATTTATATGAAAGAAGTTTTCTTTTATATGTATAAATTTTCAAATAATAATGTTTTTATAGATGCCATATTTATTTGTAATTTCCATATAAGCTTTTACACTAGCACATGATTTCCTTCACAAAATCTCCACTGAGGTTAAAACCTGAGACCCTTTGCATAGTAAGTCACCATTCTTCCAGCTACATTGTAAGTCAAGTTAAAATTTTGAGGGAAGATCATGATTGATTGTGATTTATATAAAGATTATTGGGATATTTGTGGTGAGAGGGGGGAAAGGCTTGTTTTTTATCTCCTTAATAGACAGTGCTATATTTGACTACTTCTTACTAAACTAATTTTTTTATATATAAAAAAGTGTGGACACAGATCAGTGTGGATAGTAATGTTATTATGTTTGACAGTGTTATCATCACCAGGTTTATGTATTGGTTGTGCCAGATGTGTTCAACTGTGACTGTCATCTTGTTTTTTATAAAATCAGTTCTGTTTATTGCTCCCTTTGCTCCAAGAACAGAGTAAGGAGTTGTTATGAGTGTCTCTTCTTCATTCCAATTGTCAGTTTTTCTCATTTTATGCCAATAATTCTAAAACTTCCTAAAACTCAGACGGCTGTGGATTCATTTATTTTTCATGGATACAAGCCTAAAGAAAATGTTTTATTTGTTGAACATTAGAAATAGTGGTTTAGTATAACCACGTAATCCACGGAAATTGGTATCCCACGAATAATAATGAAAACACTTAACACAGTAGTTTGAGCTAAAGGTGTGAAATGGCTTAAAAGGCTTTTATAGTTTGTAAAATGTGTGACTTTGTTATGTTTGGATCTGAAGAAAACTAAATAGCTAGAAGCATGTGGTTCATGGTTAGTCAGATGAGCCTCTTGTTTTTTTTCTAACCTCACTTTCATATGTATTATTGAATAAAACCAATCGGAGGAGCAGTTAGAGTCAAACTTTAAAAGAAAATCCATTACTTAAAATGGTAAAATTGGATGTATATATCATGATAAGTTGTTTTAATCATTAACTTTTCGGATATTTATATATATAAATGCCCTAAAGAATGAATTCCAAACATTAGTGACACTTACTATTACATTTTAAAGTCAATATTTACTATACAGTGAAAATAGCAAAATTTATTTGTATAGATTTGCCATTTAAATAAGTAATGTATTATAAATTCTCCCATTAAGAAATTTGGATTGGAAATTCAAGGTACTCCATATAAAATGTTTGACTGAAATGTAGATATATAATTGATGCACAAAAACCTTTTAAGAGAAATGAATCCATGCAGTTAATTAGATATCATTACTTTAGTATTTTTTGCATTGTTAACTTCATTTTTACGCTATAACAAAGTTGAATAATGATCTTCTATGTGAGTCTACATTCGATGATTATATATGTTATTGAACATTTTTCAAATAAAATTCTTTCAGATTTGAATTGAAGGCTAAATATTTAATGCCATTTTTAGTTAAATGGTTGACTCATGTCATATTCAATGAGTTTTTCTTTAGGTTCATGTATACTCTTGTTGAATTAAGTTGAGCAGTTCATTTTCTAAATTTTTCCTTAAACAGCAGTGTTATTTTCACTTTCTTATTTTCATTTTATAATTGTGTATTTTACTCACCTTAGGAAAGTTTCCATTTCAATTTAAACTTTACATTTCTCCCTGGGAGGACATTTGACATTTATAAGAACTAATGAATAGTTCTCAAACACGCAAGAAATATTACCTCCCAAGATTGACGTCAAGTGACTTTATTCATGCTTTTTCGCACTAACGTACATTATTCATTATTACCATGATTGGCATAATTAGGGATACAAATTAAATTTATGCAATTCCACTTTGACGGCTGTATATTAAAATTCTTCTGTAATTGAGTTCGAAATTATTTGTTTTTTTAATTCACTAAAGCATGATATTCCTGGACTTTTTAAAGAATGACTTTAATTTCAGATATTTTATTTTCTGTTTTAGGGGGGTCTGATCCCGGATCCTGCTTATTGATTTGTCAGAATCCCGTATCCCGCTTATCATTGCAATAATAGCGCTTGTAATTTCACGTGTCCCGCCCGACTTCGTTTCCGGTTTTCACGCAAAATAATTTGACTTTCACGTGTCACGCTTTAAAAAAATCAGCCAATCACGCATCACGATTAGACCCCAATGAGACCCACTTTTAGTAGCTTTGCATTAACACATACCAGAAATATATGAATCAAACCACATTAAATATTTAGCCTTCCTGTTGTTATAAACTAAAATTACAATACCGATAGGCAAAAATTACCTTAAACAGCTTAGGCCTTTCTGTTTAGATCTTTATGATTTTTATTATTGTCTTGGCTGCAACAAAAGTTGCGGAGGGCTAGACATAGGTGTTTCTTTTACGGCGTCGTCATCAGTGTCAACAATTGTTAAGTTTTTTGCTTTAGACAGTTTAATAGGAACTACTTGTGATAGAACAATGATATTTTCTATAAAGTTGCATTACTATTAGCACATATCAATTTGATGACTATTTTGAGGCTGTGCCCCCTAGATTATGGTCCAGCGACTTTCAATTTATAAGCAATTTCAATTTTAAGTTTTCTGCTTAAGTTAGTTTAATAGGAACTACTTGTGATAGATCAATGATATTTTCTATAAAGTTGTGTTTCTATCATTACATCTCAGTTTGACAACTATTTTGGGCCCTTCCCTTGGGTCACGGTCTAGTAACTTTGAATTGATAAGCAATTTTCTATGTCAATGATATTTTCTATAAATTTGCACTCTTATAAGTTCATATCAATTTGATGACTATTTGGAGGCCCTACCCCCATAAGTCATGGTCCAGAGACTTTCAATTGATAAGTGATTTTTTAATGTTAAGTTTTCTGCTTGAGTTAGTTTGATAGGAACTACTTATGATAGTGAATGATATTATCTATAAAGGTGCATTACATTCAGTACATCTCAGTTTGTGTACCATTTCGAGGCCCTGCCCCTAGTTCATGGTACAGCGACTTTGATTAAATTGCAATGTTGCTGTCCATCAGATTGTCTTTTTCTGAATTTTTGTTTTGATTATTTAAGTGATCACAAATCCATAAAAATAAGCACTTCAAAAACTTAAAGGTTTCTTGGACAGTACTCTGACATTAAATATTTATAAATTATATAAAGGTCAAATAAGTAAATGTGTGAATTATTTAACAGACAATCCCTCATACCATTTAAACTTCATAAATATCAAGTTAAAACCTTTTAGTTAAAAGTCATTAAGCTTATATATATGAATTGTGTCAACAAAGCTTTCACCTCAGTTTTTCTCAGATTTTTCATAAAAATTTTTTACTGTAGTTTTTGCTCAGAATTTTGTTGAGATCAAAGCTTTTATTTCAATAATTTGCTTCTAATTTTCATGAAAATAAAGCTTTCTGGGCTTCATTTTTGCTCACAATTTTAATGAAAACAAAGCTTTCTCTTCATTTTTTGCGCACAATTTTGGTTAAAACATAGATTTTACTTAATTTTGGCTCAAAGTAGATAAATGTAAAAGATGAACAAAATGATATCTCAATCAATTCCTTAGTAGAAATGCAGTTCACTTGAAAATCATCTTCTGTCTGCCTTTTCTCTCAATAAATTGTTGTTTGTTTTAAGGTGACAAGACAAGGAGAGATACTGTACAGTGTTTGAGATACATACCTTCACAAGATGGTTATATATCAGCCTCACAGAAGGGAGCCATTTGTATATGGAACAATAAGGTAGATCTACTAGCTTACAGCAATTACATGTTATTTTATTGCCTGAGAGCGATCCTAAATGGGACAGTTTTAAGCTGCATACTAACAATATACTGGCAATATGCAGATAATATACATAAACAGATAACTGGAATGATAAAAAATATTGGCTATTACAACTGGGATTGGGTAATCCTAATCTGTAATTGTAATCGATTGTAATTGATTACATTACAGTAATCAACAACATTTTTGATTACATGTAATCGAAATTTAATCGATTGTAGGGAAAATTATGATGTAATCATTGATTACTTTTTGATTACATTTTGATTACTTATATAAGTAGAATAGTTTGATGGAATAGAACCTAGTTTAATTAAAAATAGTACAGATAGAATAGAATGTATAAATATATGACTTGAGAGTTCCGTCAAATGACTTATTCAGATCTGTTGTTTCAAGCTGCATAATATTCCACCAGATTTCCTAACAAATTTTACTGTATTTTCAGCTTATTATTTAAATATTTAATTTTTTCGGAGGAATTGGTTGTTAGTGGTTGGTTAGGTTTGTTGTAATTCACAGCAACCAATTCCTCCGAAAAAATAGATGTAAAGACAAAGATAAACAACTCATTGTGCAGATAGCATAACTTGGTACAGGCAAAGAATTTGATGGGGTTAAATCATCTGCACAAACCTCCTACATTACATAATAGAAAAAAAAGGATATTTGGTATCCATCCATGACACAAATATTGTACATGCACAGCAAAAAACACAAAAAGCAAATAAACAGCACTTTTATTGCTGTTCTTAATCTCAAAGTCACAGTGAGGCTTACAACATGGAGCAAGAAAAAACTATCACCTCACAAGTTTAAGACGGCAGCCCCTTAGGCAACGGCTTGAGTAAAATTCTTTGCAAAAATAATTTGTAAGATGTAACATCACCAAATCATGTCTAGACCATATATTGAAAAAGTAAAAAAGAATAAAATCAGGCACAATGCAGGTATCAATAAGACATCCAAAAACCAGCTATCTTGAACAAGGAAATAAAAGAAGATTATAAATTTCTTATTATATAATTTCAGCTTAGATTACAGAGCTGTATAGATATTAATGTAAGTATACCTTTATAAATGGAAATTTCATGTAATACGCTTGATTTTCATATAAAGATTAAATGCATTCGGTGAAGTCAACACGAATAATTAAATTTCATTGATTTGTTCCTGCATTTGACTAAAGTCTGATCAATGATTATCTCCCTTTTTTATAATAAACAAATAATACTATATGCAATATGAAAATGATTAAAAATTAAGTTGTGTCTCAATATTTTTTCCATGTTCTTCGCCTTTCAGGTATAAGACATCCATACAATGTTGTCTAATAAAAATTGAACTAGTATCTTTTTCAGCCTTTTCACCAATTGAACAATTGTTTCATGTTATAATGATTAAAACATAAAACCCTTTACCTTAGCTGTATATTTTAGTATATAGGATGGAGAGTATCTCATTGGCACTCATACCACATCTTCTTATATCTAAATAATGTATATCTTTTCTTTGTCTCAGAATATAAAATCAATTGTTAACTGGTTACCCACAGATAGAATTCTAGGCTATGCTGAGAACATATGAAATTTACTTCTGAGACGATGTATTGTTGTTCTCTTTTAACATGTTCCAAGGCAAATATTTAGAGAAAAAAATCAATGATTACTTATTTTGATTTTCACATTTAGCTCTTTTTTAGTAATACCCTTTTGTAACCTTCTTGAGAAAAACATAAATTTTGTTGTAATCCTATGTGTAAATAAGCATACTACATGTAAGTGTTTCTAAGCAAAATTGTGTGTACTTGAAATAGAGAAAGATTACATCTACAAAAGAAGAAAAAGATGGAAGCAACAAATATTATGACCTTGAAGGGGTAATGCAAAAGTATAACTGCCCCTCTCCCTTTGAGTGTAAACATCTGAATCTTGACCCAGCTTCTTTAAAGTGAATACTGGTATATATCTCTCACAAATGTAAAACAAATAATGCTTATGGAATGCTTTTTCCTGTTCATAATGTAAATCTACATATATATAATTTTGAATGGGTCCCACATTTACAATAACTATATAAACTATATTTTATGTCTTAAATGGTCTGGTTGAAAGGTTTCTGTGTTTGCTTCTATAGAAATGATTACTTATTTTAACTTTATAACTTTACTTCCTATATTATATTCTATAATATTGTATTTAAAGTTTTGGTTGTGGGTAACTGACACATTGGAAATTTTAATATTGTAAACCAATTAATTTTCACAAGATATTTATTTTTTGTGACTTTCACAAGTAGAAATGAATATAAGTTGTCAGGAATATGTAAAAAAAGTTAACAGATGAAGTTGGCTAAGAAGGGTTAAACTAGAGAAAAAAATATCAATGAAATGTAGCTGGTTTACAGTAACTACCGGTATGACCAAAAACAAGTAGCAACATATTCTTCATTTTTCAAAAGTTTGTTTTCTTCTTATTATTTTTCCAAGTTCAGAATAGAAAATATAAATGCTTTGACTTTATCATTCACTCTGATGAAAAAAAATCAATTTCTATTTTCTTCTTCCCTGTAACAGAGAAATATAATTAGTACAAAATACAAATACTAAAATTTTTTGTTTCAATGTTTGATGGTTGCACAAAGTCATTTCAGCAAACATCAGAGCTTGCTGGATTGCAATATCATCAACTTATTGATTGTTGATTGTTGGTGTTTTAACGCCACTTTTAAGCGCCACATTTGGGCTATTTCGTGGCGGTCAGTTTTTATAGGTGGAGGAAGTCAGAGTGCCCGGAGAAAACCACCGACCTTTGATAGGAAAACTGACAATCCTAGTCAATTAAGATTGGAGTCGAGTGCACCTGCACGAGCGGGGTTCGAACTCACAACTCCAGTGTTGACTGGCTAGTGATTCCATTAGTAGAACTACTTAGACCACTTGGCCAACGAGGCCCCTCAACTTATTGAAAAAAAAAAAAAACTTAAATAATGTTGATATATTGATAAATATCCCATAGAAAGTATTAGTGTTTTACTTTGATATTACATAACTTATAATTAAATTGATTTATTTTAAATGTCTATCTATAGGAACCAGCATGGGTGACGGGATGTGAATATTTGCCGTCCATTCGTAAGGCTGTTTGTTGTACAGAACGTAGTATATGTGTGTGGGACAACAGATCAAAAGGAAAAAATCAGGTTAATTTCAAGTGTAACTTAAATTTATTGTAACATTTATTGTAATGTCGAACAGATTTCCTGACAAACTTGGCAACTGAACTAGCCAAATTGAGTTAAAGATGCTGTTGTTGATGAGCGCTTATGCTACAAACATATTGACAGCAGTTATGTTTTAAAGTCTACTGTAAAATGAAATGTTGGGTCAATAGTGGAACTTTGGGATAAGCCAGTTAAATGTCCTTATCCTGATCAACAAGAGGATACCAGACGAAAAGTTAGGTTAAAATCTTTGGCTTAAATTTTTATTTACCTTTGTATTTAGGAATATGAAAATATGAATAGGATCTCAAGTTTATTGTACATGTATTTAACAAATTGTAATAGAAATTTAGATTACATAGAATAAGGTCACTGATTTCAAGACATGATGAACTCCTGATGTTTGCTTGCTACCATAAATTGTCAGTATTTACACAGTGCGTTTGGTTATTTTTTTTCTTTAGAAAGTTTAACTATGCTCAAATCTGCAAAAACACAATTATCAGAAAAATCCATCATCTCTTCATTTTATAAGTTACTTATTGTTTTCACCCTATAAGGACATTATAAAGGATAAATCAAAGCCCTTCACTGTTACTCAGGAATTACAACACAACAAGTCCTTTTATACAAACTACTGATTTGTAATGTTTTCTTTTATCTATATCAGTTTTTCTCATATTTATGTTCAAACTCAACATATGGCAAGTGCGTTCGACTCCAATCTTAATTAGCTATGATTGTCAGTTTTTCTTCCAAAGGTTGATGGTTGTCTTCAATCATTCTGGCTTCCTCCAACAATAAAAACTGACCACCATGATATAGCTAATAGTGCTGAAAGTGATGTTAAACACCAAAAATCAATCATATTTATGTTATCTTTTTGTATCATTTTAGCATGTATTTGTTATCAAGCCATTTGAGAATTCACCACAATGTATATCATATGTGCCAAACCCTGAAGGAACTTTAGATGACATAGTGTTATTCGGAGATGACCAGGGCTATCTTAATGTACTAAAACTAGTTGCCAAAGATCTTACTCCAAAAAATTCCAAAGATAGTGACAAACGCCAAACACAAATACCTACGAATATTACGATAGCTCCAGATCAACTTACACAGTAAGTAACTGTAGCAGACTAACTTTTTCATTATTTTAAATACAGCAAAAATATGTAGTTAACACAGTCTGTTTAGTGGATTAAAAGTCCAGCACATCAAATATTTGTGTCAGATCTGCACTATTGAGTAAGGTAAAAAAAATCTGTGACTTTCCATCACAGCTGAAGTAATATCTTCTGTGGATTCATTATTATTTGTAGGATACCAATTTTGTTGATTTCGTGGGTAAGGGTTAGCCACGAATTTTTATGTTCAACAAAGTACACATTTTCAATATGCCTCACTGTGACTTTGAGATGAAGAACAGCAATAAAAGCGCTGTTCCTTGGCTTTTTGTGTGTTTTTTTGCTGCGCATGTTTTGATTATGTGTCATGGATGGATATTCCATATCCTTTGTTTTTCTATTGTATGCAGACTTTTGCAAATCTACAAAATCAAATATCCACAAAAATACAACTTTTCCTCAATCCACGAAATTAGATGAATCCACAGTATATGAAAATTTCAATTTACTACTGTGGATTCATTTATTTTCATGGGTATCAATTTTCGTGGATTGAGGAAAAATTGTATTTTCGTGTATACTTGATTTAGTGCTTTTGTCAAGTCAGCATAAAAGCCTATAACAAATTTGTACTTCGTTGAACATTGAAATACGTGGTTCCCATTTACCAACGAAATCCACGAAAATTGGTATCCCACGAAAAAATAATGAATCCACAGTAGTTGTTAGTTAATTGGGCTGTCATGACAACTTTTAAGAAGTGTTTCAAATGAATTTCTCTTGAAAATTACTTGCAAAACCATCTCAACTGTAGTTACCAAATACCATTATAAAAAAGGTACTTCATATGAACATAACTATTAAACTTAATCTTTTATTTTTCAGCAAAATTATAAGAAGAAAATTGCACAATGATTATGTCTTACAAGTAAGTGTGTATGTAACTATCAAGTATAGCATACTTGTTACACAAGCTACTGGCCATCTATTGGCATTAAAAACATCTAGTTTTTAAATATCGTTTAGCAAAATGTGACCTCATTTGGTAGTTACTGTACGTTAATGAAAATAACATCATGATGACATTTGAAATCACATGACTCAAATCATCCTCTCAACCACTTTTAGACCCTAGACCTAAATTGATTTCTTGTTTGACATCTCAAGTGGAAATGAGTTCTGATATGGAAGTCTCAATTTGATATTTTATGTAAAGTCAATCATAAAAATCAAGCCTTGAAAACACTTTTTTCAACAATGACATTAGTATCTGCTCTACAGATGACAACTGACACTTGATAGTACTGCATCAATGAATGCTCCATGTAATGGGAGTAAAGTAGATATTTATATTGACAATTCAATAAAATAACATTATCACTTCCTTGTTGTAATTTGGCCTGGAAGCGAGAAATTATTAAAGGAAGCAGAAAATTCAACAAAACATTGAAAATATATAATGGATGACTTCGACTAATTGATTTCAATTCTGTAAAATCCCATTTCAAACTTTATAGGTATTAAATTTTGTCCCATTTATCATTCATGCCATGATCATAGTTATATTGACCTGAAATCTTGTTACAGAAGTACATACTCAGGAAATTGACATAATTTCTTTCCAGTCAATTTTAAAATGTGTTAATAAAATTCAATTTGATTTCAATCAATAAATGATTAGCTTTGTTTTTTTTTCAGGTAAAATATTTTCCCGAGTTACGATGTTTTGCGTCATGTTCACCACACAGTAAGAAATCTTTCGTGTTAGAGGAAGTGGACCGACTTTATGATGATGGGTAATTAAGCAATCACGATTGTTTGACATGTCAGTTGAATTGTTATAATGGAAGTACATTAGTGCATGGGTTTTTTTTTAATATCAAATCAGCATGCTGACTTCTGACAATTTACTATGCTTCACTAGGGTATTTTTGTCTTTATGATATCTGGAAATGTCACATGCTTGCATGAGTTATCAATACAATAATATAGGGTAGAATTAGATAAGAAGAAAAATTGGTATGACTGATGTTTTCCTTTTCTTTTGAATATATGTCATTACAGAGTTGATTTTCCCTATTTTTTAACAATAGTATAAATCATATAGAGAAAACCATACCATATTGTTTTTGCTAGCCAAGAGTAATTATGCTTTAATTTATTACATAAAAGTCTCAAAACCCATAAAAGTAGGTATACTTTTAATAGAGTTTTAAATATATATATATTTTTCCTATTCATTTGGTATAAAAAGATTGATAACTGAAAATAAAACTTAAAGGATTATTGAACTTGCATAAATGATTTAGCTACAAATGTCTGCCAATAATAGACCCACAATCTTTTTGTTCATGTTATCACTAATGAAGCAAACACAATTCAGTTAATGCCCAAATAAGTAAGTATTCTACAAATATACAGATGAATAAAGGATGTTATTAAGGGGACGAAGTCCCCTATTACAGTAGAAAAATCAATAAAAAAAAAAAATCAGGAAAATTTCCCGAAATTTTCATTGTACTAATGAATTCAAAATCGTTAACTTTTTTTTTGTCACTTTTTAGCTCACCGGGGCCCAAAGGGCCCCATGTGAACTTATGCCATCACTTGGCATCCGTCTTCGTCTGTCGTCGTAAACTATTTAAAAAATCTTCTCCTCTGAAACTACTGGACCAAATACCTTCAAACTTTAACTAAATGTTCCTTAGGGTATCTAGTTTATAAATTGTATCCGTAGTTTTGATCCATCGACAAACATGGCCACCATAGCTAAAAATAGAACATAGGGGTCAAATGCAGTTTTTGGCTTATATCTCAAAAACTAAAGCTTTTAGAGCAAATCTGACATGGGGTAAAATTGTTCAATTGGTCAAGATCTATCGGCCCTGAAATTATCAGACGAATCAAACAACCCATTGTTGGGTTTCTGCCACCAAATTGGTAGTTTTAACAAAATTTTGCAGTTTTCATACGACCGCAAAAAAATTTTTGTGGTCGTATATTGGTATGACGTTGGCGTCGTCGTCCGGCGTCGTCCGAAGACACATTGGTTTTCGCACTCTAACTTTAGTTTAAGTGAATGGATCTCTTTGAAATTTTACCACAAGGTTCAATACCACAAAAGGAAGGTTGGGATTGATTTTGGGGGTTATGGTACTAACAGTAAAGGAATTAGGGGCCAAAAAGGGGCCAAAAATAAGCATTTTTGTAACTTCCAGACATAACTTGTGTGTTAGTGTATGGATCTCTCTGACATTGTACCACAAGGTTCCATATCACATAGGGAATGCTGGGATTGATTTTGGGGGTAATTGCCTCAAAATTTTAGGAATTAGGGGCCAAAAAAGGGCCAAAAAACAAGCATTTTTTTCTAGTTTCATGACAATAACTTGTGTGTAAGTGTATAGATCTTTCTGAAATTGTACTACAAGGTTCCATATCACAAAGGGAAAGCTGGAATTGAGTTTGGGGGTAATTGCCGAAACGTTTAGGAATTGGGGGTCAAAAAGGGGTCAAAAATAAGCATTTTTCTAGTTTCCAGACAATAACTTGTGTTCAAGTGTATGGATCTCTCTGAAATTGTACTGCAAGGTACCATACCACAAAGGGAAGGCTGGGATTGATGATGGGGGTAATTGCCTCAATATTTTAGGAATAAGGGGCCAAAAAGGGGCAAAAAACAAGCATGTTTCTAGTTTCAGGACATTAACTTGTGTGTTAGTGTATGGATCTTTCTGAAATTGTACTACAAGGTTCCATATCACAAAGGGAAAGCTGGGTTTGAGTTTGGGGGCAATTGCCTTAAACGTTTAGGAATTTGGGGCCAAAAAGGGGCCAAAAATAAGCATTTTTCTAGTTTCCAGACAATAACTTGTGTTCAAGTGTATGGATCTCTCTGAAATTGTACTGCACGGTACCATACCACAAAGGGAAAGCTGGGATTGATGATGGGGGTAATTGCCTCAATATTTTAGGAATAAGGGGCCAAAAAGGGGCAAAAAACAAGCATGTTTCTAGTTTCAGGACATTAACTTGTGTGTTAGTGTATGGATCTTTCTGAAATTGTACTACAAGGTTCCATATCACAAAGGGAAAGCTGGGTTTGAGTTTGGGGGCAATTGCCTTAAACGTTTAGGAATTTGGGGCCAAAAAGGGGCCAAAAATAAGCATTTTTCTAGTTTCCAGACAATAACTTGTGTTCAAGTGTATGGATCTCTCTGAAATTGTACTGCACGGTACCATACCACAAAGGGAAAGCTGGGTTTGAGTTTGGGGGTAATTGCCCTAAACGTTTAGGAATTTGGGGCCAAAAATAAGCATTTTTCTAGTTACCAGACAATAACTTGTGTTCAAGTGTATGGATCTCTCTGAAATTGTACTGCAAGGTACCATACCACAAAGGGAAGGCTGGGATTGTGTTTGGAGGTGATGAATCATAAGGGGGTTCAAAAAATTTGGGGGGGGGGGATTTCTTTTTTTTTCTTTTAAAATTTTCCATTTTAAGTTGGTTATTTCTGATTTATATTTAAAAGCAAATAATAATGATATGGTAGGAGATACACACCAAACAGGATGTGTAAATTATTATAAAATAAGTATTGTGCAATAGCAAGAAATTTTCAATTGCACAGTATTGCACAATAGCAAGAAATCTTCAATTGCACAGTATTGCGCAATAGCAAGAAATCTTCAATTGCACAGTATTGCGCAATAGCAAGAAATATCCAATAGCACAATATTGCGCAATAGCAAGAAATTGTCAATTGTACAGTATTGCGCAATAGCAAGAAATATTTAATTGCACAGTATTGTGCAAAAGAAGATACTTCGTATAAATTGCTTATTTCTTGACCAATTTCAATGGGGTTTTATTCTTGAATTCTTGGGGTTCTTTAATATGCTGAATCTAACCGTGTATTTAGTTTTTGGATTTTGGGCCCCGTTTTTAAATTGGTCCACACTGAGGTCCAAAGGGTCCAAAATTAAACTTTGTTTGATTTCATCAAAAATTGAATTATTGGGGTAACATCTTTGATATGCCGAATCTAACCGTGTATTTAGATTCTAAATTTTTGGTTCCGTTTTCAAATTGGTCTACATTAAGGTCCAAAGGGTCAAAAATTAAACTTAGTTTGATTTTGACAAAAATTGAATTCTTAGGGTTCTTTGATATGCTGAATCTAAACATGTATTTAGATTTTTGATTATGGGCCCAGTTTTCAAGTGGGTCAAAATCGGGGTCCAAAATTAAACTTTGTTTGATTTCATCAAAAATTGAATATATGGGGTTCTTTGATATGCTGAATCTAACCATGTATTCAGATTTTTGATTTTTGGGCCCTGTTATCAACTTTGTCCACATTGAGGTCAAAAGGGTCCAAAATTAAACTTTGTTTGATTTCATCAAAAATTGAATTCTTGGGGTTCTTTGATATGCTGAATCTAACCATGTATTTAGATTTTGGATATTGGACCATAATAGGTGAATGTCCAATTTAAAATTTTTAAGTTCTTAGACCACATTCATTCTGTGTCAGAAACCTATGCTGTGTCAAATATTTAATCACAATCCAAATGCAAAGCTGTATCAAGCTTGAATGTTGTGTCCATACTTGCCCCAACTGTTCAGGGTTCGACCTCTGCGGTCATATCATGCTGTGCCCTGCGGAGCATTTTATTTGTTATTATCTTGAATATTATTATAGATAGATATAAACTGTAAGCTGCAATAATGTTCAGCAAAGTAAGATCTACAAAAAAGTTAATCTGACCAAAATTGTCAATTGACCCCTTAATGAGTTATTGCCCTTTAAAGACAATTTTACACAGTTTGTTCATCAAGTTTGCTAACATTTAAAAATCTTCTCCTCTGAAATACAGGTGAGCAATTCAGGCTCTTGAGAGCCTCTTGTTTTAATTCCCGCATTTGCTCAGAAATCTACTTCCTTCTTCCGGTCTCGTTTGTCATGAGACTTTGAGTGAAATATATATTTATCAGTCCAGTAAAATATAATGAAGGAACACAATAACAATTTCATTTCTAATTATTCTTTGATATGAAAAAAACGTTACCTGATGATAGCGTTTCTTTGTTAACATTGAATATGACGTCATAACTAAAATAACGTCACAACTAAAATCCGTAACAACAGAACCAAAATCGGAAACGTTACGGTATTTCCGTTTCTTTTTTTAACAGATTTAGAACTTAAAATATGTTTGAATTAAAAAAAAATAATTTATATAGACTTCGTCCCCTTTCACAGGTAATGCCTGCCTCATATTACATTGGTTGCAATGAATTACCGTGATTTCCCATTGAAATAAAAACAGATAATTTCATATTTCACTCCTCTGACGTCATACAACAATAGGTGTCGATCACGTCGCATCAAAGCAAATTGTGAATGTGTAGAAAAAGATATAGTTCCTTACATTTTCTACTTTAATTCCATTAAAAAGCCCATTGTCAATGTAATAAAAAGAATAACTAATCAAAGAATTCAAATATTGAAAAATATTCAACTCATGACCGAACAACACTAATAGTTAACTCATGTGCTACGCGCATTCGTGAATTAATGTGTTGTTTGGTCACTCGTTGAATATTTTTCCATATTTGAATTCATCGATTAGTTATTCTATGATAAGTTGTTAGTGACTGCATCCAAACAATACCAGAATACCATAAATATGGAATTATACATCTATCTTTTCCACTTTTAAACACATTTTTTATTATTTTTGATGTTGTCAATTTTGAATAACACTTTATGCATCTATATGTCTGGTGCTGGTATATATATATGGTTTTTAAGATATTGAAAAAGTTGATGGAAAAATAAAATAAAGATGAAATAAGTAATAAATACATGTTATGAACACTTATGATTTTACTGACATCACATGCATGTTACAGTATTTTTTGTGAATCACATTTTTGGCATGGTTGCACAATATTTTGCACTACTTTTTGCAGTGAGGTGAGAGATGTAGCCATTCCTAAAGGTGTAAATTGTTTTGAATATTGTACCAAAGCCAATATTATTGCCACAGGCGGTGTAGACAAAGTAATCAGAGTATGGCACCCACATATATTTTCAAGACCAACAGGTAATTAGGGGAGGAAAGAGGGGTGTAATTATCTGTAATTATCTGTAATAGTGAAAATAGAGAGAAAAAAATATGGATGATTTTAGCCATCAAATGATATTTTTTACGATTGCAGCAAGGGGGTGCATACCCCACTGAATCTGCACTGGTAATATTTATGGATGTAATAATCACAAGTATTTTTCTTGAGGTACTGGTAATCTGGGTGTAATAAACTGTAAGCATCCACATAAGATTTCTAGACAAATAGGTGATCATGGCCACCAATTATATCGGCAACCATGTGTATTCTGAAGCTAATATGTTAAGAGTGCCACTAGAAATAAGGCTTAGATAACTGGTTAGTGTTCACATATATTCTTTTAAGGTCAATAGATAATCATTCCTTGCTGGTGATGATACATCAGTCAGTGGATATCCAAATGTATTCACAAGATAATAATGATGATATGAATAAAACATGTCTATACTTGTGGAGAAATGAAGGTCAATGTTAAGTAACTGAATGTTTTCAACAAAATTCTTATTGCTTGGCATCTGATAATTCTAAAAGAGCTAAATCCAAATAGGCAAACAAAAAACTGTTTGTTAATGCCCTAAAGTCTTAAAAAAAAATAGAATTTTGAGTTACAAGCTGTCAGAAAACAAAAGTATTGTGGGAAGCTATACATGATTATATTTGCAGAAACAAAGCTATTTAGCTGAAAATGATGTATGGAAATTGCATGTCTGATCTATTTTTTGTTGTAAACATTCCAGCGTCTTACAACAAATGTAAGATGTCAAAGAACAAATCAGTCTCTAGGTGGCAATGACTTACTTTAACATTATAGAAAAACAATTTAAAAAGAAAAAAAAAACTTTCTATAAATTCAGCATTTTTTCTATGTTAGCCATTTTCTTTTAGAATAATGAGCTCTGTATAGATTTGGTTATACATGTATCATGTATTTAAAATTGAAACATTTTTATTACAGGGAAATTGTTGGGACATTTATTTACAATAGTAGACATAGCCTGTAATGAGAAAGACCAGCATTTGATTAGTCTGTCCACAGCCAGAGTATTCAGAGTGTGGGATATACATACATTAACTTGCCTGCAGGTAATAACCATCATTTGTAAACGAGAGGCGAAAAATACCAAAGGGATATTCAAACTCACAATTTGAATATAAATTGACAACACCATGGCTAAAGAAGAAAAATACCAACAGACAAACAATAGTACACAAAACACAACATAGAAAACTAAAGACTGAGCAACACAAATCCCACCAAAACTGGGGTGATCTCACAGTAAAGGATACAAGTATTTGTAAATTAAATAGCTTGAAACTTCAGATTTCACCATCACCTGGCATTTGTGTTGAATTATTTGCTAGACTATCAACTACCAGTCTGTTTACTCTTATGAAGTCAATTTTGAAACAACAATTTGGGTGAAGGTCATAATGAAAAAAATCCTGGCGTTTGAGAATTATGTAAATGTTAAAACAGAGAGATTAACCTGATTTATAACAATATCCTATTGGTGATAAATATTTAATGTACACTTTTTCAAATACACAAGACCTTGAAGTGTTAAGTTTAAAAAAATATACTACCACAGTGATTGGAAAATGAGGCCTCAATCCAAGCAAAAAAATATCATTTTCATTATGGTGTCTATTTGCAATATTTGGGTTTATATAGTTGCCTCAAACTTTTCATCATAAAGAAAAGAGTCAAAATTACCTTGCTGTTCTAGCCAAACAATATGGGGAGTAGAACCTTACTCCCTGAATTACTATTGATATAGTCTCTAGATATGATATTATTTATTCAAGTATTTTATATTATATTTGGTACATATTTTAAAATTCTTTTTTTTTTATCAAAATAGGTGTTTACAGACAACGAAGAGAGACCAGGTGAAAAAAGAATATACTCAATGATATTTGATAACAAACATGAAAGATTATTAACAGGTAAGTTAGATGCCTTACTCTGTGTAAGGTAATTGTATTTCTGAAATTGATGAGAAACATACAGAAAATTTAAATCTAAATAATTATTAGTTTTATTGAAAATTAGAAAAGGGTAAAAGAATAACAGACATTACATATAGTTACATTTGTATCTACCTTTGTTAAAAAAAAGAGTTATCAATAAAGTATGTTTTCAAGATTTATTTCTTCATTTTTTAATATTTTGTTTTGTCACTTTGTTCTAATATTCCTGTATATAGTCACTGGAAAAACAGTTTTAAAAATTTCCCATTTTTCATCCATAGGTTCTAGTGTAATAGATTCCTGGCCATTAACTAGAGCTGTCCAGGACACTATGCAAGTACCCCATACACACGATAGACCAGTTAGTTCAATACTATATAACAGAGAACTTGGCCAAATAGTCACAATATGCACAGAATCTGTTATAAAGGTATGTATAGAAATAAACTTGCATAACTATGTGAAAAAAACTAGTCATTGAAATACTGCAAAGGATCTAGGGCCAATTTTTACAATGAACAGAGAATCTGTCCTCAGTGTACATTCCTTATCTATACTATTAAATGAGAAGACCTCATTTTGTGTGTCGCTTCTCTTCCTTCCACAATAAATTAATCATCATGCCCTTATGTCCTATAGGTACCATGCATAACCGCATTTGTCATCCATTCTTATGATTATTCAGTTTGGGTTATTTTGGGAGAAAAACGAAAATAAAGGCGTCCTGATATTGTTTCCGTCATCGAACGCACTTTTAAGTCATAGACAAGACTTCCGTTTAGGACTGTTTAAAATTAAACGTAATTTTCATATTAAAGTACATGGGGACAATTATTTTTGCGTTTATCTGTACACCATGATCATACATATGCTATAAATAAAGTGTATTTGCTATTTACTATCAATTCCAAATCTACTATCCACGGCGGTCACTGATATATTATGTAACAGAGATGCTGAAATAATCTCCCTAGGCAAGAATATTGGATGACGCAAAATAAACACTATCACCCTGGAAGAGCGGAATAATGAACTGAGTATTTATATGAAATTATGTTGTGATGATTTTGTAGACGTTTCAGTCTCAGTGGAACGAACCTTTGTCTGGATGAGACGGACGCGTTCAATCAACATGAGGGGACGGTGACGCATAGCCACCCGGCCCTCCTGTTACCATTATATAGAGAGTCTCTATATATAATATATATCAGTTACCGCCGTGGAAAGTAAACTTGGAATTGATAGTAAATAGCAAATACACTTTATTTATAGTATATATGTATGTTCATAGTATACAGAAAACGCGAAAATAATTGAAATTAACAGAAAACAAAAATTAACGGACTTTGGAAAAAAAGGAGAGGGCTAAAACAATTGTCCTGTCCCCAAGTACCTATGACTTTTGATACCTTTCCTGAAATTCTCCAGTCATAAAACCTTTTACAAAAATTCATCAATTAACAGTTTATATACTTTCAACTATACTCTTAATACCCGCGATTTCGCGGGTGTGTTCTAGTATAATATAAAATTTATGGATGATAAATGAATCTGTCAAATGCTTATCATCAGGATTCTTGGCTTAATTGTCACAAATGTACAGATTTTGTTATAAATGTTTGTTTCACCTACAAATGATAGACATGGCAATATAAATTTCATTATAACTACAGAATTTGGTTGTAAATGTATGTTAGACTCCATTCAAATGTGTCATGATTCAGATGCATCTGTTACAGTTTCTTAAAGTACGATTTGTTTGTATTATTGTAGGTATGGGAATATGAGTCAGGAAAACGTGTCTATACAATAACAGATGCACATGGTCCTAATGTGGAAGTGACAGCATGTTGTTTAGACTCATCAGGGTACAGACTGGCCACAGGAGGGTTTGATGGTCAGTATTACCTAGGATTAAGTAAATGAAAGATCACTAATTACATTCCAAAGTAACATTACTATATTATTTTGAAAAAGCACCCAAGGGAAATAATTTCTTGAAAAAAGGGGGTGCATATTTTTTAGTCAACAATATTGTCAATACAAAAGCTAGTTCTAGGTAAAGCATACTTTTTAAACATTATATAAGTATATTGTTATACAGCTGATTGTGCAATAAAGATAATTTAATTGTGTTAAACAGAATTTAAAAAATACAAACGTAGAAAATATGGAAAGTTAAATTTCTTTGCATCTATTAGGTTCCTTAGATTAGAGCTGCATAAAAGTTTAATGTTTATGTCTACATAAAAGCTACTCTTGAAAAATTAAAAGTCAATATTATTTTTTTCATTTTCAAGGCTCCATCAAAGTGTGGGATTTTGGTTCTGGACAGGAACTGAAACATAAGTCTGGTAGACAGTCTGATGAAGATCTCAGTATTGTAGGCATGAAATACTGGAATCTAGACAAGGATAGAGTCATCCTTACTGCAGGCTGGAATAATAAAATTAGAATGATTTTGGTAAGTGAAACTAATTCCAACCATATCAAAATCAAATAATCAATAAATTGGTGGTCACTTAATAATAGAAAATAAAAATGCTGATAATATTTGATTAGCAATTATTTATTTTTAAACATTTATCTGATTTTAATGTGAAGTCAGTTGTTAAAAAATAAAATGATAGATGAAAAGAAAACTTTATATAATTGTGTGCCTCCTAAGCACTTTTCTAGAGCAACCTTCATCAGGAATACTCAAAACCCCAAAAATTTAAACTGAAGGATGAACAAGACCTGAAAAAGGGAGGGGCTTTATGACTGGGACCTAAAAAATATAGGCAAATTCATTTAAGGTGGTACATAACACTACAGGGAGATAACTCTGTAAAAATCAGCCGTACATTTTAATCACCTTGTATTGTTAAGGAAATATTAAACTTTTCAATGATCAAAATCAGTGTGTGTCAAACTGCTATAATCCAATGAAATTTTTCCGATAAAGTGTGTGGTTCAAGTTTTTTGAAATTTTTATATTTTTATCAAAGGGTCAAAGTAAAGATTTTGTCAAAATTTCATGAAAATTAAAAGAGCCAAATTAATTTTAGTCAAGGTGTTTGGTACCACCTTAAAGTCAACTTTTGTGGCTATGCACAGTACAAGACATCTAGTACTCAGTATATGTAAAAGAAGATGTAGAGTATATGGCACTGAAACAGCATCCCAACTACACAGAAAAACAAAAGACTTCTAGAGGTCAACATAATGACTTTTGGCACAACATGATTAATTAAAAGTTGAAGCCAATGTTGATGTTAACATGTTTTTGTTCTGCATAATTTTCAAATTGAGATTATAAATTTGCTGAATGGAAATAATGAAGCTCAATTAGCTTTGATTTAAGAAGATACTTTTGATTCGTAACTGTCTATTTACCAATTACAGATTTTAATCTAGTATCACACACTTTTAATACAGATTGTTGCCCTTTGCCAATTGTAGATTGGTTCTAAACCTGATAAAATGAGCCAATGCCCCTTGCAAAATATGATTAGTTGAAAGTGAGATTTAGACATTTTAATAATTTTTTTTAATATAGAATGACTATTGGTATCAAAAGTTTATAGCTCAACAAACAATTCAATGTAATTAAAAGATTAGAAAATCTTAAAGATTACACACATTCGACAAGTCAGATAAATTTGCTCTTTCTGTTGGCACTTTGTGGTCAATAAAAATTTTATGTCCCTCCTTTTAAAGGGAAACAAAGCATGCAAATGGAATTCAAATTATTTGGTCAATTAAGGAATTGCCAAACAGATTAATATAACAAATGAATTTCATGGTTATGGTTAAATCATACATTTTTGTGTTAAATAAGATACAACAAAGGAGAAAGTCCGGTAATGGCTTGTTTTGGCCTAAAATTCAAAGTTCATCTGATGAAAGATTTTTGACATTTTTTAAACACTTAAGTGTCTACTTCAGTTGATTCAATTAGTTTATGTAAAAGATTTGAACTGATTTGGTCATTAAAGAGGCTTACATTTCAACAAATTGGTAAAAATGCTATATTTTGGCCCAAAAAGGGGTCTTACCGGGCCTACTCCTTTCATAACGGCTTGTATGGAGAATCACAAGATTATGTATCCATGAAAATTGATTCTCTCAGTTTAAATATTTTTACATAGATATAAGAAGATGTGGTATGAGTGCCAATGAGACAACTCTCCATCCAAGTAAAAATTTATAAAAGTAAACCATTATAGGTCACAGTACGGTCTTCAACACGGAGCCTTGGCTCACACTGAACAGTAAGCTATAAAGGGCCCCAAAAAATTACTAGTGTAAAACCATTCAAACGGGAAAACCAACGGTCTAATCTATATAAATCTATTACATGTCTATCTTAAAAAAAAAAAAAAAAATCTGATCAGTTAAGGGATAAAACATATAATTTTGAGCATTTTGCTCTTATTGCCCTAAATATCTTTTGCAGGATAATAATGAGAGTTATGATTTACCAGTTGTACGAGAATTTAGTGATGTGTATTTCTTTACCAAAGATATTGACGTTAGTGCTTCATTGAGTGATCCCTTCACAGCAGATCCACTGCCGGATATAGGACAGAATTCAAATGTATCTAAATCTTCCAAGAAAAATTCTATTATGTCTAATAATATATTTAAAAAGGTGAGTAAGGAAGTCATTATTCGATGAAATACAGTAAACCAGTTATTGTTCACAAGCTCTTTATTTACAAGACTTTTGCAAATAAAAAAATAACGCATATACATGTCATGGGTACTGTAAAATCAGAAATTATTGCATGCATTTATTATTGCGATTTTTAAAAAATGAACAAAAATGCAATATTAATCATTGTGATTTCAGGAAAATATGCATACAAATATATGTATCAGATATCAGAATGCAAGTTTTTATTATTGCGATAATCACCAAGTCACAAAATTCTCATTAATAAAAACCTCGCAATAATTTCTAAACTTACAGTATGTCAAACTTGGATCTTCTTTTAATGAGCACATCAACAAAGTGAGAAAATCACAAACATGTCCATTATCGCTATGTGGATTAGAAATTTTTCTGTGGATGAAAGCTTGGTAAATACATTTGAGTAATTACCATTTCAAAAGGTTAAAGTTATCAAAAGAACCATTCATTGTCACATGTAATATAATGTGGATTCATTATTTTTCTTGGGGTACCAGATTTTGTCATGGATTTCGTGGGTAAAGGTAAACCACAAATTTAAATATTCAACAAAGTACAATTTTGTATAGGCTTATATGCAGACTTTGGCAAAACCACTAAATCAATTAGTCACAAAAACAATTTTTCCTCAATCCAATAAATTGGTTTCTACAAAAATGAAGTAGTGTAAAATTATTTGCAAACTATAAAAAATTGTTTTGAACTGCATTATTTTTTTCAGGATTATTTATTAACAACAAATGAGATGTCAACAATAGAGACGTTTTCACAAAATACTCTGTATACTGGTTGTAGCAATGGTAAACTGATTACATGGGACATAGAGAAATCTAGTGTTGATAAAATGTAAGTAAGATACTTATCGCAGAGGAGAAACAACTTTTGAAATTTTACATTAAATTAGTTGTAGTTTACACATCCTATTTTCTTTTGCCAATAAAGCAGACACAAGAAAGAGTTTTAAAAAATACTCAAGACTGGCCAGTTTACAGTGTTAATTGTTTCATTAGAGACTACATAAGATCAATGCAAAATTTTATGCTTGGTATTTTCTGTATGTACATTCATTGTTGTGATATTTCAGACATGAAATACAAGATCAAGAGGAAACCTCTTCTCCACCAACGAGTCGACACAGATCAAGACAAGGAGGGGAAAAGAAAATTAATCAAATCAAATTTCTAATACATCAAGAAAAGAAACTTAGTCCAGAATATTTAAAGTGAGTATACAGGATTATATGCCCTATACCTTGTAAAAATGTACAATTTAATTTTTTTAATGATTCAAGTATTTCAGGGAAAATTCTCTTCTATATTATAGATATTGAAAAAACAATTAGTAGAACACAATTCCTTAATGAAAACTTTTTGTTTTGTAATTATTGTTCTCCCTTGTTTTGTAATTATTTGTTCTGCCTTGTTTTGTAATTATTTATTCTCTTGTGTTTTATAATTATTTGTTCTCCATTGTTTTGTAATTATTTGTTCTCCCTTGTTTTGTAATTATTTGTTCTCCACTGTATTGTAATTATTTATTCTCCCTTGTTTTGTAATTATTTGTTCTCCCTTGTTTTGTAATTGTTTGTTCTCCCTTAATTTGTAACTCTTTGTTCTCCATTGTTTTGTAACTCTTTGTTCTCCATTGTTTTGTAACTCTTTGTTCTCCATTGTTTTGTAATTATTTGTTCTCTGTATTGTAATTATTTGTTCTCCTCTGTATTGTAATTATTTGTTCTAGGTACAAGAAGAAGTAAGTGAATGAGTAATTTATTGGAACTTTATCACATTTTATATTTTATAATACTGCATGTACATGATTTTGATTTACATTAGAGATCACTTTTTTGTTTTCCTGTTTTCTTGCAATTGGTCAATTCTGATTGGGAAAGAAAGAAATATTGGGACTACAGCAAGCTAAAAAATATATATAATATAACCAACAACAAAAGAAACCCCCAAAATATCGATCATAGATTGTTAAAGAAGCTTTTTTCAAAATTAGAAACTTTTGAAGAAAAACAAATGCATATGGAATAGCTTGAGAAATAAAATTTGTGTTGGATTTCTTTTGTCTAAATTGGAAAAAAAAATATAATTCATTTGATAAATAGATCTGACTACTTTCAGAACTAGGTTAACAAAGGAATGGCCTTTGCTGTACAGTTATACAGTTGTTTTTTTAATATCAGTGCAGTGTGAATTTAATGTATTTCTGTAATTATTTCAGAACATAACTTTTTGATGGTATTGGGATTTTAACAGTTAATATATTTATGACCTCATATGCATGCTGAGGAAATTCCTGTGAACATTAATTTCAAACAACCTCATTTACCTGTTTTATCTGATAAGCTTTAATCTAAACATTGTTTTACTTTTACATTAATGTTAAACAATACATTTTCTGAAACAGTAACTGGAGCCAGTATGAAAGCAAGTTTTTCCCTGTTTGCTGCTTACCAAATATCTTGTGATCCCCACCAACCAGCAAGAATAAACTTCTTTTATATTAAATGCAATGACTTTTTACCATGAAATACTTTTTTTTATGACACAAGCAATTGAACTTTGTTTAAATTCTTTATGCTTGACAAATTTCTATTTTGTTCCTATTTTTATCTAAGAATAAGTTACCTTTAACAAAAACTATACTTTTTTATTATTCTTTGCTCAGTAAGTTGAGTACAAGCAGATTTACGGGAAAAAAAGTGTAAAAATTACCATTTGATTTAAATTGAAGAGACTAATCTTATTTGTTATTGTTTATTGTCATAGAAAGACAAAAGTTGATGATGAAACAGAACGAGAAGGAGCAGGTTCTCAAATGTCACACAAATCTAAAACTTCCAGAATAGGATCAAGATTAGGTTCTAGAGTAGGATCACGACTCTCACACCATTCCAATGCACCACCTAAGGTTAGTATATAGCGATATGGTCTAAAAACTTATATTTGGATCAAGATTATGATTTAGAGCAGTTTTTCCTACACCATTCCAATGGATTAACTAAGGTTGGTACAAAATGATATGGCAGAAAAATTTATTTTTGGATCAAGATTAGGATTTAGAGCAGTTTTTTCTACACCATTGCAATGGATTAACTAAGGTTGATACAAAATGATATGGCAGAAAAATTTATATTTGGATCAAGATTAGGATTTAGAGCAGTTTTTCCTACACCATTCCAATGGATTAACTAAGGTTGGTACAAAATGATATGGCAGAAAAATTTATATTTGGATCAAGATTAGGATTTAGAGCAATTTTTCCCACACCATTGCAATGCATCACCTAAGGTAAGTGTATAGTGAAAGGGCTGAAACATTTTTATTTAGATCAAGATTAGGGTTGAGGGCAGTTTTGCCTTCCCCATTCCAATTGATCAACTAAGGTTAGTTTATAAAGTTATGGCAGAGGATTTACATTTAAATCAAGACAAGGACTGAAAGCTTTCCAATGGATCATCACTGGCAAGCACAATGATATGATACAAATTTCAGAAAAAAATATATGTTTTAGGTTCCAAATCAGATTTGGTAATTCTAACACACCACCTACATCTCTATTAAAATAAGACACAGAAATATCTGGCGGAACATTAGCTTAAAAGATTCACATTCCATTTTGGCAGTTATGTTTCAGTAGGTTCAGTGTTAAGACCGATCTAATATATAATTAAGTTAACCTCAATCCTGTTACTTATAAATAGCTTACAAACCAGAAGCAATATGCTAAAGTTGTTTCTTTCAAAACCAAGAAAAGCTTGTAAATTTCATTTAAAATATATTTATGGATACCTGTTTTGATTTTGTTTTCACAAATTCTTTTTTAGCCGCCAGATGAAAAGGAACAAAAAGAACAGAAAGATTTTGTAGACCAGTTAACAGCCAGAATAGAAGGTGAAGACCCTGAGAAAGAAGGACCAGTAGAGGAAAAAGACAAAGGTAGATTTTAGAACACCAATTTTTTTTTAATACTGATACAAATAGCTTAGAATTTTTATCAAAGTTGTGAACAGAGCAGACATTTTCACACTATCTTTATTTAAGTCAAAATACAGTATTATGGAACTTAAACTTTAAGATTTTACTTTGTCTTTGCTCAACTGAAATCTTTTAATGAAAGGTGGGAAATAAGTATTTACAGAGTTCTGAAAACAGTAAAAATAAAAAGCATCATGAATTTAGATCTAGATTTAACTTGAAATAAAAAATATAGTCCTACTTTTTATTTTGCAAAATCCTAGTTTATGGTGCATGTAAATGTAAATGTGAACAGATGCAGTACAGAAAAAAAAAACTACATTTCAGATGAAGAGGAAGAAAAGAAAGATCATGAGAAACCAGACATAGAACTGAATTTACATGAGGATGATGAGGAGGAGGAAGAGGAAGAATGGACTGAAGAGAGAAAATGGGTGGAAGAAACTTATGATCCTATCATTGTCACAGCTCATCAAGATTCTTATATCAGATTCTGGAATATGGAGGTTGGTTTATTTTGAGAAATATTATGGCATAATGGGGGGGGGGAGGTTGGCAGATGCCAGATAAATAATTTAAACTTAAAAAACCATTTACTTGTTTGAAATTTTGACTTTTCTAACTATAATACAGGAAAAGGGAAATAATCATTAAGTTAAAGTAAAAAACCTACATGTTGTGAAGAATTGCGAATATTCTTTTTGTCTGTCATGAGATTAACATTGTTAGGCCTACCAGGCATATTGATATGATATATATTCATCATTCCCCCTTCAGTAGGGTCAGATATTGTAAAGTTTCTGCTTTTTCATGTTTAATTCTTTGTCTTTTCCAGGGTCAGGTATTACGTGAAGTGTCTGCTGTTACAAGACGACAAGGAACTCCTGTTACTGCCCTGTGTCATGATGAACGCTGTAACATACTCATATCTGGTGATTCAAGTAAGGATTAACACTTATCTGAAATTTTAGTCTCATAGAATGTAAAGATAAAAGACAATTTAACTGTCTTGAGGAAATTACAAGAGAGACATGTACAGCTTTTTTACATGTATTAAAATCAAAATTTTAGAGCTGGAAATTTTGGAAAATTATTTTTTTTTTATTGAGATAATATAAAAAGACAATCTAATTGAATTACAAAGTCATTTTCTTTGAACTTGGTTTTAACATTATAGCTATTGATTTAAATTATGTATTTCAGAGGGATATTTAACTTTATGGAGTATAGGAAAATTCTTGAGAGACACACAGTCAAATGATCCTGTAAGTTTTTATAAACAGCTGCAGTTTTATAATATTGTTACATATGTTGGGTTCCTGTCTTATAGACATAGAACCCCAGTGTTCTCCATTTTTCACTAAGGTAAGGTGGGTCTTTTGAAAAAATCACTTGTAACCGGTCGTATTATTTTTTTTATACTTTTCCAAGCGGGTTTTTTTTTTACTGTGGGTGTTGTCACAAAAAGAATGGTTAGTATTGTATTCACATTTAATGGAATTGAATAGCAGATGGCTTTTGCAGGACTCCCTCCTCCTGCCAAGTTTCTCTCCTATTCCTTGCTTTAGTGCTGTATTTTTAGTACACAGAACAGTAACATCCTTCTTCTGTGACGACTAGCCATTTAAAGTCCTGTTCATATTTCTCAGCTTGGGAAAAACCTCTCAATGTAATGACTGTCCCTTTTATGAAGGATATTTTTCAAGAGATACAAATGCGCACATATTTATTTCATTTACAGAAACTTTTTCCAAAGAACTATACATCTATTTGGTATTATATGGTCAAAACATGTCCAAGAATTTTGTAATAATCCTGGACTTATATCTACTTTATCAATAAAAAAAAGGGACCCTCTTTTAGAAAAGTTGTTCCAAATATTACATAACCGTACAATGTCTCATGTTTGTTGCTTAAAGTTATACTATCATAAATTATTGTTAATTGTAAATGCCCCCTGTGGGACCCTGATTGGAATAATAAACTATTTGATTTGATTTTATAACGAGTTTTCCCCCTTTTAAGTTAAAAAATCTTAGTTTTTCTTTTTTCTTTTCTTCAACAATAAGACGACCTCTTGTCACTCATTTAAGGAATATTCCTCATGACATTAGGGGATTGCTCCCAACCTGTTTACCTTCGCGATCGCTCGCGTGCCTTTTCCGTTGTTTTGATACTTTTTTTTCAATTTTTTCAATTTCAATACAACTATCCGTTTTAGTTGACTTATTTTGCCTAAAGTTTTCCTTATCACCATCGTCATCTGCCTTTCTCTTCCCCCGAATAATAATAGAAAACATTGAAATTTGATGATCCGCCATTTTTGTCAATGAAAACAAATCAGCGAGGCGCGATTAGTATTCAAATTTTTACGGTGCGGAACCGAAAAAAAACCGGAATTTGAAAAAAAAGACGACCACCTCCTAAAATGGAAAGGTGGTCGGCTTTCAATAGAAGGTGGTCGGCACACCCAGCTTTAATGCCGAATGGAAAACACTGAACCCACATTTCTTTTCATTCATTTTTGTTAGTGAAGAATTACTCTGATAATTTCAAAACATTTCTTTGAAGTTCATATGAAAGAACAACTACTGGTTTGCATGAATAACTGTGTATTTCAACTCAATATTGTTATTAAGACATTGATAAAGCTTAACCTTAAAGAATAAAAGTTTTGGTAGATTTGTTGGCAACATCACAATTGTTGTCCTATCGGGTTATGGGGTTTTACACAAGACTGAAAAAAATATGGGAGAAACTAATTCTCCTTTTGGTTGCTCATGAGTTATGATGTTTCTCACATCTCGTAACGTAAATTTACTTTCTCACAACAAAATGATAATCTATATGAAGATATTCATTTTCTGTTTAATTTATTTATTTTTTATTTTCTGTGATTGTAGAGTGCAATAAAACAAGTGATCAGCTGGAGAGCTCATCTTGTGAAAGTTGTTTCCCTTGTTTATATTAACTCATTAAAGTGCATTCTGTCAGGATCTACAGATGGATCAGTCAGGTAAATTTCTCTTTGATATACTTAAGTATGTTCTTTAAATAGCTGACCCTTTCTATTGAAGTTGATGTTAAATTTTCTGCTGCATCCCATTCTGTTAAGGTTAACTGACAAATTGGTCAGGTTAAGATATCTGCAAAGAGTCTCTAGTAAAGTTCATTAAATCAAAATAAAATTTAATGACATAAATTAAAAAATAAACGAATTACAGAATTGAGTCTTTATTCAATAATATTTATACATCCAGAAATACAATTTTGCAGTATATCATTAATGCTGATTTCTTCATACCAAAATAAAAAAGATTTGAAAATAATTGTTAAATATATAAACTAATCTTTTTACATAATGTATTTATTTACAGAGTATGGTGGGGTTACAAAGGTAGATTTGTAGGTTTCTATGGTCAGCATAGAGCGTTTGTATTCCCAGAACGTGAAGAAACAGCTGGTCCTCCGACACTTCCTTACGATATAACTGAGGTAAAATGTCTTGTAAACTGCTGTCTTTTTATTTTTAGTAAGCAAAAATAAAGAAATAAATGCTATTTCAAAACTATTTTGTCTGAAACATACATCAAGCTCACTCATAAAGTTATAAATTATCTGTCTAAAATAAAAAATAATTTGAAAAGAGGTTCAGCCACACAAAAAAGAAACTTTTGGCTGGTTTGCACAAAGGTAAACAAAAATTTGATTCGATGAAGATTTGATACTGGACATTGTGAATATTCTAATTTCTAGCATGTCTGAAGTGGCCTGGTAAGACTGCCATGCCAGTATGAGTATTTTCAGTAATAAAAGACTTGGATAAAAGAAGGACCAATAGTTGCTATCATCTACATTATTTGCTCTCTGGTGAATAGTTGTCTCAATCTTCTTATTTTTATATTGTAAATTTGTTCCATTATCATGGTGAATTCAACTAATTTTGTTTTTAAAATTTCTTGATTTCAGGGACCATTAGCTCCAGTTCAAGAGAAAAGTGCTAAACAAACCATAAGAACTGTACAGAAATATGAATATCCACTTATATTTGATAATGAGAAGTAAGTTTATTCTGGTGCCTACAAAATTAAAGTTGAAAACTATTAAAAAGTGTCAGATTCAAGTAACACAATGATGCAATCATGGTTTAAACTGGAAGTGCCATCTTAGGAAGCAGTGGCCTTATACTAACATGTGTGACTATTTTTAGTTGAAAAATTATTACATATCCACAAATTATGTCGTATTTTATTTAGTTCAAGTGTTAAAAGCAGTTCAATTTAAACATATATCTTTATCACTTGATAATATGGAAGTATTATATTCATTCTAAAATTGTGTGCTAACAAAACAAAAACTAAAGGAATGCCCACATTGTCTGCCATTTCATTCTTAAAAATTATTTGAAATTAAAACTCAGAAGCTCATCTGAAAATGTGAGAAACAATGCTTTATAAGATTAAAAGTCTTATATACTTTCATTCATTTCACACAAAAAATTTTAAAAATATTTGAAACTATGTACTTACCTTATAGGAAAGCAGACCCATCATAAATATCATTCATTCAAAGACAGAAAAAATGCAAAGAAATTTTAAACAATTTTAAACATTCAGCATATCTGACCAAGCACTTTTTTCAAATTTTTATGTATGCAACTTGAGTTAAGTGAGAAGATTTTATTGTAAAAGTAATGGAAAAACAGTATGCTGGAACAGGGGAGATAACTTTGTAATGTAATGTTTTATTTTCAACTTTACTCTGAAATTACTTTTATTTATGGATTTGAGTATTTTTCATTTGTTTACAACTTTTTGAATTTCTTAAATTAGATTTTTAAACATTAAAAGTACCTTGAAAATTGTGAATTTTTTTACGTGTTAAAATTAAAATAATATAAAAATATAAAATAACCATGAAATCCAAGGCAATTGGTAACCCATAAATAGAAACTATTTGAATAAAAATATTTTGATAGTAGTTTAGCTATAACAAAAGGACTGCAGATTAGGTTGAACCATTTTTTATAGCCATTATTTATTTTTATCCAGGTGGACACCATTTAGAAGATCAGCATACATAAGACAATCAGAGGCCCCTCCTCCAAAGAAAAAACCTTTTAGCTATGAAATAGATAAAAAGTTCTTTGGAGCTTTGATTAAACCTAAGGTATTTAATTTTAATTCTTTAGAGTCTCAGTGAGATTAGATCCATAGAATAGAGAATATTTAAACAACTTCTGTGTTTTTAGAAAAATTATATAAAGTTATGCACTGTACCCATACGCAAAGTTAACTCAAATTTTTTTTAAATACTTTGGACCCAAGTTTTAAGGAAAGTCAGATGAGTCTATGAATTCCTCTTTATGGCTGCTGAAATAAATAAAGAAATCTGAGACCAGTAAGTTTTAAAGTGGTCATTGTAAATGAATTATGTTACTTATTTCAGGATAATTTAAACAGATTTTTAGAACTACATAAGAAGGTGAATTTTGTATGAGCTACAAAATAACTTAAGTTTTGATGCCAGAACATGTGTATAACATGTGTATAACAGTTGTTTCCACACAAACCAGATCTATCTGACACTTAATTCACAGCTCAGAAATCATTTTTGCTCACATTATCACACCATACTATTTCCTTATGTTTTGGGCAGCTAATCAAATCTGTGACATTTGTCCCTCTAACTGTCTAGATAAATTACTTACAGTCAAATCTGTGACATTTGTACCTATAACTGTGTAGATAAATTATTTACAGTCAAATCTGTGACATTTGTCCCTCTAACTGTCTAAATGAACTATTTCCATCTTCCATTACTGAATCTAGTTTGAAAATATATTTAAATTTCTGATGGAGCTTAATCATTGGTTTTTTTTTTTCAGAAAATTGTTGGAAATATTTTTCCAAGGAACTTAATGCATTTTCTTCATGAATTTGTTCCACATACTGTTCTTGATTTCTTACAAACTCTATGTTGTCTTTTGAACTGTTGTAAATAGAAGAGCCAAATAATTTTTTTTTTAGTGATCATATTGATACCAGAAATTTTATGTGTTCATTTTAAAAAAATAAATGAAGTTTAAAATTACTTAACATCTAAAGAAGGCAAATTTTTATTTCATGTTTATATACCAGAAATGAAGTAAAATTTAATTCAGCTGAGAGGCATATTGAAAATATAAATATATACCATTAAATTACATCTTCATCTTAGGATTTTTGTTTTATAGGATATTCAGCATTGCTTAAAATTCACTCAGTGATAAGTTATATTGATAGAGTGATTGAAAACTGTATAATGTCTAGTTGCAAATATTACATGCACATTCAGGATGATATGTTGATTTTATATCAAGATATCCTGATTTGTACTAGTCTGACATGCTGAGTTAAAGTTCTAGCTCAAAAGGTAATTGAGACCAAACCCTCCTGCACTTGTTCTTAATTGCGTCCACTAAGGCTGATTGGGAACAGTTATAAATGTTGTTCATATGTCCTGTTATAAAAATGAGAAAGAAACTAATTTTTCTTTAATATCAGAAGCCTCATTAAAAATTTATTTTACAAATCACAAATTGTAATTGAAATTCTTACACAATTCACTGTTTCAGAAGCTAAAGGTCTATAGGTAATTGCATTGTCTGTACCCCAAAATAAAAAAAAGTCACACCATTGGTTGAATTTTCTATGTTTAAGACATTGTTATTCAATCACAACGCTTCTGAACATATCACCCAAGGCATTAGATTCTGAAATGGGGAATTAACATACTGTTATACACATATAACACTTAGCAGGCACTGGTTATGTGATAATGGTGTTTTGTAGGTTTGAACCTTTTTGTCTGTTTGACTCTTTTAGTGCAATCACATAAACAAAAATTATAGATTTAGCATTGTGTGGATTGTGTTAATTTTAATACAATATATATTTTTATTGCAAATGCTGTAAGGGCAAAGTGAAGAATAAATGTGAAACTGTTTTGTTTTGAATTGCTTTGTGAGAATCAAAGCATTATGGTAATTTCATTGTGTGTATACAAAAGTAAAGAATGTTGCATTGATGGCTATTTTTCCATTCTTTGTAGTATTGTCAGTGAAACATGATATTTTGGTGTACATCGATTTGAAAAATAGTTAGAATTTCTTAAATTTCTGCAATGGTGAATTTTCAATAGAGTGTAACTGTTGTGTGATGCTAGATAAATTTAATAATATGTATTTAATGCGTCAAACAAAACAAAAGTTTTTTTTAGGAGTGATGCAAGAAAAATATAAATTTGTTCTTTTGTATTTGTCAGAACTATTTATAACATTTATCCAGTGTTGAACAAAACAGCGTTTTCAGTTAAACTTCCTTATAAAACCAATCCTGTTTTACATTTAATGTTTTATGACCTTATAACCTCGAAATGCACAAGTAAAAAATATCATTAAAAAAAAAAGTTCAAAGATTTTTATTAAATGTAACATTTACATATATATTGTTTGTATTTTATTTTAGTGAGCTCACATAAAATATTTATTCAGATTGATGTTTAGATATGGTCTTGCAGGTTTTTATAATTTACATGAAATATTCATAGTTTCTGTCTGCTGGGGAATAAATTTTACCAGGTATTTATAACCACTTGGGGATTGTATCCATATTTCTTTAAATTTCCAACAACTTTTGAGGAAAATAAATATTTAAAAAGAAAAACAAAGTTGTCTGCAAAACTATTAATTGATGCTTGGGTAGTATTAATAATGTGATTTATAAATATGAGCAGAAGAATTAAGAGGTTTAAGTATTGTTCCATGAGGCAAACATCCCTTATCTTTCTTCCATTCAGAATTATGACCACTATCATCTCTGATATAATTTTGTATTTAATTTTAGGCATATAATCATCATCTAGAAAGCATAATAACAGGAGATAAGAATCAAGGAGCTGTGTTTAGAGCTTTACCGGTATACAGGGTAAGATTTTGCAGTAGAGAAGGTTTCAAAATGGCCTCCATACTTGATGTTAATTTTTAGCTCACCTGGTCCGAAGGGCCAAGTGAGCTTTTCTCATCAACTTGGCGTCCGTCATTCGTCGTCCGTCGTCGTTAACTTTTTACATTTTGAACTTCTAGAGAACCACAAAATGGAACGAAACCAAACATGGCATGAATGTTCCTTATGAGGTGCTGACCAAGTGTTATTACTTTGAAGCCAATTCATCATCCAAGATGGCCGCCAGCTGGGGACTTAGTTTAACATAGGATCCTATGGGAAATACATTCAAATGTTTTCTTTTAGAGAACCACTGAATGGAATGAAATCAAACATGGCATGAATGTTCCTTATGAGGTGCTGACCAAGTGTTGGTACTTTGAAACCAATCCATAATCCAAGATGGCCGCCTGTGGGGGACTTAGTTTAACATAGGACCCTATGGGAAATATTTACAAATGTCTTCTTTTAGAGAACCACTAAATGGAATGAAACCAAACATGGCATGAATGTTCCTTTTGAGGTGCTGACCAAGTGTTGTTACTTTGAAGCCGATCCATCATCCAAGATGGCCACCAGCTGGGGACAATGTTTAACATAGGACCCTATGGGAAATACATACAAATGTCTTCTTTTAGAGAACCACTTAATGGAATGAAACCAAACATGGAATGAATGTTCCTTTTGAGGTTCTGATCAAATGTTGTTACTTTGAAGCCGATCCATAATCCATGATGGCCGCCAGCGGGGGACTTAGTTTAACATAGGACCCAATGGGAAATACATACAAATGTCTTCTTCTAGAGAACCACTGAATGGAATGAAACCAAACATGGCATGAATGTTCCTTATGAAGTGCTGACCAAGTGTTGTTACTTTGAAGCCGATCCATCATCCAAGATGGCCACCAGCTGGGGACAATGTTTAACAAAGGACCCTATGGACAATACATACAACTGTCTTCTTTTAGAGAACCACTGAATGGATTGAAACCAAACATGGCATGAATGTTCCTTATGAGGTGCTGACTAAGTGTTGTTACTTTGAAGCTGATCCTTCATCCACGATGGCCGCCAGCGAGGGGACTTCCTTTAACATAAGACCCTATGGGAAATACATACAAATGCTTCTTCTAGAGGTGCACTGAATGGAATGAAACCAAACATGGCATAAATGTTTCTTATGAGGTGCTGATGAAGTGTTGCTACTTTTGTTGCCGATTTACTGTTCAAGATGGCCACCAGGATTTTTTATTAAATTACAGGGCCAATATTAAACCAAATTTGGCCTCACTCATTATTAGGGTATCTGTTATGATTTTAATCTATTTTTACATGATTTCCAAAACCAAAGTAGAATCAGGTGAGCGACACAGGCTCTTGAGAGCCTCTAGTTAAATTAGACATTTTATTGTTCAAATATAGATGCACAAATAAACATCTGTAATATTCATTTACTGTTTTAATAATGTTTCCTGGTACCATCATGTTGCTATGGTGATTTGTAAATTATGTATATAAAATTGAGAATGGAAATGGGGAATATGTCAAAGAGACACAACAACACGACCAAAGAGCACACAACAGCCGATGGCCACCAATGGGTCTTCAATGCAGCGAGAAAATCCTGCACCTGAAGGTGGTCCTCAGCTGGCCCCTAAATAAAATTGTGTACTAGTTCAGTGAAAATGGACGTCACCCTAAACTCCAAAACATATAAATGAACTAAAATTAAAAAACATACAAGACTAACAAAGGCCAATGGCTCCTGACTTGGGACAGGCGCAAACATGCGGCGGGGTTAAACATATAACATTATGCATTTAAGAATGGGTAAAGTAGGATTTTGCATTGCAAGGAATTTCTTCAATTCATATTTAGGACCAAAAACAAGTTATACTATAAATCAGTTGGTAGGGATCAATCCAGTAATAGATGTTGAATTTCAACTGCATGTAGAACATACATAGTTGTTCAGATCTGAACCTTTAAACATCTTTTGAAGTTATAGAGATACTTAACAGTATTAAGGGGGCCTCGGTTGCCGAGTGGTCAAAATAGTCCATCTTCTGTATCACTAGCCTGTCAACACTAAGGTTGCGAGTTTGAATCCCCCACGTGGTGGGTGCATACCACACCAATCTTAATTGAAAAGGATTGTCAGTTTTCCTGCCGAAGGTCGTGGTTCCCTTTGGACACTTTGGCTGCCTCCACCATTTCAAAACTGACTGAGACAAAATGGCACAATAGTGCTGAAATGGTGTAAAACACTGATCAATCAATCAATCAATTAAATTTTGCTCAGTCTTAAGTTTTCTATGTTGTGTTTTGAGTACTATTGTTTGTCTGTTGGTCTTTTTCTTTTTTAGCCATGGCGTTGTCAGTTTATTTTCGACTTATAAGTTTGAATGTCCCTGTGGTATCTTTCGCATCTCTTTTAAGAGCATTACAAGCTTCCAACACTAGTCTTCACATTTTAACTCTCAATCCAAACTGACATGACTGTCTTCAATATTCCTCAAAAACAGAAAAGATATAAATAGTATGAATTTGATATACTTCAAAGAGCCAGCAAACAACAAAACCATAAAAGCAAAATACCCAACCTACTTTTTTTGTGCATTGTAATTTCTCAGTTTATTAATCTATTTGTTTACTTAAATTTTTTATTCTGCAGGTAAAAACACCAAAGAAAATAAAGGAGCCAGAGTTAGCATTTAAGCTACCTCATAACAATGAAGCCTCCAGTATTATGTTTGGTGGAGCAAGCAAGGTATGGTGATGTTACTCTGTAGAGTAAACACTCTGTAAATATTAAGTATAGTGGTAGAATATTATATACCATAAATTCAGAAATTATTGCAAGGCTTTTATTAGCGCAAATAATGCCACTTGGTTTCCTGAAATTGCAATAAGTTATCTTGCATTTTTGTCCATTCTTCAAAAATCGCAATAATAAATGCACATAATAATTTCAGAATTTACAGTATCTTTTCTATTAGATGGTATATTTGGTACTCATTATCTGGCTGTAGGGACTGCAATATTATCCTTGTAAGATAGGAAAAAGACTGCTCTGCTTTGTACAAGTTTTTTTTACAAGTGGTTAATTCTTTTTTTTTATTGGAGTTTTCGATAAAATTTTATTAAAAACAAGATTTTCATTTCCACTTGTTTACTTATACTTATATTTTTTTCAATTCAAGTAGACTATATAGGGAAATGTTCTGGACTATAACAGTGCTTAACAAAAAAAAAGTATTCTTTAAAGGTGCTTTACCAAAAACATCAATAAAATGTGTTAGGTTCAGTATGAAGGCAGATAACTGAACTATAATTGTTTTTACTTGGGACAGAACATGAAATGGATAAGATAGACTTGTCTGCTGGCTGGTAAGAAAACTTGTTTTAAGAAGAGCAGTCATTGTGAATACTATATCTCTTGTATTCTTGAAGAAATCATATCCTTTCATTATTCAAAAGTGTTTTCTAATCATCATGATTGTTAAGCATTATTTTTATTTCAGTATACATTTTAAGGCCATTGTAAGTAATCCAAAGAAACACTAGAAAAACTTACCCTTCCAACTAGTGAAATAGAACTCCACAAATACCAAGATAAATACATTTAATTTATATGTTGTTTGCGACATTGTGTCTGATGCTGTATAATGCCAATATTGCAGTGATACCCATGCACCATATCCATATTTTTCTGCAACTTTGACCATAATTTATTATTCAAAAATTGGGGCTAAATCATTCATATATAAGGAAAATAATATGGGGCTTAAGATACTCCCTTGTTTCACCCCAAGGATTATAACCAAAAAGTCTATTGGATTATTTTTTAATTGTTCATGTAACAACCAAAGCTTTAGTTGTGGATAACTTTTTTTGTCGGACTATCAAAACTTAATTTTAATTTACTTTTCCGGTATTTCTTGTAATGATGGTTTAATTTGAGGCTTTGTTAGTAAGGATATAAAGATATCAAAAATTTTAAGGATATTTGCAAACTAAGTTACTTTGCATTTTTTGTAGGAGTAAACAAATGTAAGAAAGATATTAACTTAGATACAGTGAACACAAGAAATGGTCTCTTCACAATAATTCTTCAACTCTAACAGTGCCTTGGAGAAATCAACTCTTGTACATGTTTTTTTTTCAGTTTTAAAATAATTATATGACTCAGATTCATTTAGCTTTTGTACATATTAAACTGTGGTTTATTGTTTTGTATTCTAATTTGAATATGTCGACATTAGACAAAACAATATAACTTTTATAGATTTATTTTTTTCAATTTTAGAAATTACATTCTATTTAAATGATCTAGAACGAATGTTATGTCTTTTTTGTATAGTTCTTGTTTCATTTTGAAATATTTTCTAAAAGAAAAACATAGATTACAGACTTTGGTCAAACATAATAGTCCCCATCCACAGATAACTTCAAGGTACTGTGCAAATATACTCCCAATATGCATGTTTGAAATAATTTTGATAATTCAGTAAAAGACAACACTCACTCAATGACAATTGAAACAGACTCAGTGTGCACTCTTTGTTTTGATAATCACATCCAATGTATGTGGCACATAGCAAAGTTGTTTTTTTATTTGTGTGTGTATTTTTTTTAACAGCAACTGTGTAATCTTATAACTATTTCTTTGAAATGAAGGATAAGAAATGCAGAACAATATCCTTTTATCCTATAATAGTAGATGGGCATTATGTTTTCCAGGACTGTCTGTCTGTATGCCCCATATCAGATTTTGGTTTAAGGCATCAACTTTAAACTTAGACCACATGTATTATGAAGTGAACTGTTGAATATATGTGGCAACTTAAGGTTTTGATCCATATTTTTAGTTCACTGAACATTGAAATGTAAAAGTGTGAGTAGGGCATGGGGGACACGTGTTCTTTTTTAAAGCTTAGATTAAATACCTTTTTCTGAATCATTGATTTCATTTGAAGTTGTCACATGATAAATGACTCAAGACTTATTTCTATAGCAGGAGGATATGAGAAAGACAAATAATGTCTAAAGTAAGACGTTTTCTCTGGTTGAATGATATGTCAGGCAGAGAGGTACAAGACTTGCCACAATTTAATAAACTAGAATTTTTTTAGGCAAATGGACAAATCTAGCAACACTTAGGATTCCAACATGATTTACAAAATAATCTGTAATGACAGTAAATCAGAAAAATTCTAAACTACAATGTCCATTTAATTATGAGAATATGTCATGTTTGTTCTATGCACATAAAATAACAAAAATATGTTATTGGTATATATGGTATGATATGATGTTGCTAGATATTCCTTTTTGATATGTTTATTCACTTGACAAAATTTTTGCTGAAAGCTCAATGAAAATTCATGTTCAGACTCAAAACATTGACAAATGAAAATTTTTCTTTTTCTAGTATTAAATTTCTTTTACCTTTCTTGTGCAAGTCTGTTACAATTGGATAGTTTTTATTGATTCAATTAAACAGGTTTACCCCTGACATTCTGTTTGTAGGAAGCTGGAACAAGAAATTGTTGTTTATTTGTGAATTAGAAAAGTCTGTATGTCAGACTCCCTAGAAAAGTGTTTTTATCTAATATTTTGGTTTAGTTGCAGTTAAAGCATTAATCAAATTATTAATAATCTAAAATGCCAAAGATGTAGTCCTTTACAAGAACATGATGCTGAAAGGGATATTGGATTCAGGATTATGGGGACAGGGGTTGTTGGTTTTTTCTCTGAAGTATCATTTTAAAGGAAAGTCTTGAGATAATACTAAACAGAACTTGTTCAAAGTCTTCAGTGATTTGAGTTTTATTTAATTTTTTTTGGGGCCCTTTTTCCACAATAATAGAAAAGAGTTAAATTAAATTGTTGGTCATGTATTCATAACTAGGCAAATCTATATTCTCCTTTGATAATTATTTTGCAGTCTCATGATAAATTTTTAGTCCTGAACATTTCAAACAGACAAGTAATTTTATAGCATGAACCATATACATCTGTATGTGTGACTATGCAAGTGATCAGTTCTACTTGATTCAATCAAGAATGTCATTTGTTGAAACCAAAATTGCTAACAGCTCTAGGAAATATGTTCAGCTACCTGAATCTAATTGTTTCACATAAGCAGTATTGAAAATGATTTAGAGATATATTCATATTCTATACTAAATTAAAATACTTAAAAATTTAACAAATCAAAAAGTTGGAACAAAAAAAAAATTACTTCATTGTCAAACATATTTTACTCAAAAAAATGATATAATTTTGAGTAAAAACACATAAATGGCGTAAGAGTTGCTGGCTTGAAAGAACTAAAGGGATATTTGTGTGAGAAACATGTTGTAGTGTAGCTAACTGTATTTTATAACTTGATATTGTTGAGCTGAATGCTAACTACTCTAACTTTGTGCTCTGTGTGACTAACAATTTGATATTGTAGAGTTTACCTTCTAACAGCCAATTTAGTATGGACCAAAAACAATTCTTACGGATACGGAAGCCATCCCAAGTGAATGTCCTCCCTCGTATCAACTCTCTCTATCTAAAACTGAACAAGAAGTATGACAAACTCGATTATTTAAAGACTAAAGTTAAAAGATGAAATATTTGTATGTGTAAGTAGCTCTGTAGATAGAATCCTTCCACTTATAGATACATAGACATCCTTTCACTTAGTTAAGAACTGACAGATTTGTTAAATGTCATGAAGTACTGTCTTTAATTCCATTACTACGAACTACATTATGTCATGCCTAAAATAACCAGAGTATCTATGCATATGCATGGTATCCCATTTGAACATGAAAATTGATGTTGAAGTTTCATTAGACCTGACCGTGCAAAACCCTCATGGGTAGTCAAGGTCGTTAAAAAAAAACCTTGTCGAGACCTGAATTAAAGGAATTTTCTATTTAAAATTTTGAGCATCAATCGATGATCAGCTGTTGGCTTATTATGATTTATCTAAATGTTTCACTGACAAATCCACAATGAATTAAAACTTCTGCTGATACCAGCAAATATTAAAAAACAGAAGTTTTCTCCAACTTTTAATAAGTGATATCTGAAGTTCAAGAACTTTTGTAAAGAATACTTTATTTTTGCACCAGTCTACAGCATATAAAGGGTCATCACAGTTTGCACATATAATTCACAGTTAACAAATAAAGATGAGATTTAAAGACATTTTCTGAAAAAAATCTTTCTGAATTTTTCCCATTGCATGTATTCTTAACCTTTAACCTATTAATTTAATGCTATTTATGATACCGGTACATCAATATAGTAACAAGTATAATATGCATGATATATGTTTAGTGAGAAACATTAAGAAGTGACCAAGTTACTAGGGGAGATAAAAAAGGCTTTCATCTGGCTAATTTTTTAAAGGGAGATAATTCTTGATTGATGTTTCTCACTTGTTAATGTATGTGTAAAGAATTTTTTTTTTAAATGTAACAAGCATGAACTTTTATATATATATTTAATTACCTGTAAAACATTTCCCTTTATAAAGCTTTATCTTAACTGTCAACGATTGGAAAAGGTTACCTGTAAACTGCATTCATTCATAATTATATTTCAGGGTGCAAAACATCTAATGAGATTTCTTATAGGTGACTTGTAGACAAAGAATTGTTGCTGGTTTTTTTTTTCTTCTCTAGGTTATATGTACATGAAATATTTAGGAATAGAGGAAACTACTTATATAGTACAATGTCATTTACAAACTTGAAATATGAATATTCTTTGGACTAATAACTCATAGATTCTGTACTTGATTAGAGCCACACAAAAAATATTCATAAAAGAAATATGATTTTTTATTAGATTCAACTGTAAAGTATAAAACTACAAAACGCAGAAGCCAACAGTATTGTCAGTTTGTCTATTATCCACCAAGGTTGGAACTTTCTTTGTTTCGTGATTTTACACTCAGAAATCACTTCTTAGTCTTGGATGATTTAGAACTTGAGATATTATATAGACAGTTGTCTGTTGCTAAAAACAATAACTTGACATCTACATGTCTTCTCAGGTTTTTGTGTTGTTGGGTTGTGGTCTTGTTTATGAATACCCCACATCTTGTTTTGATCCATTTCTCCTTTGTTTTATATTGAAGCAGATCCTGTTAAGGTTGACAGATGACTTCAGAAGTATATACTGTAAATTCAGAATTTTTTCCATATCTTTGTATTATTGTGAAAATTGTGACCAGATAGGTTTCGCATAAATGATAATAATTAACCCCCAATTTTTATACTCCCATTTACGGGACGTATTATGGTATACCATTGTCTGTCCGTCGTCAACATGTTGGACAATAACTCAAAAACGCTTCAAACAATTAGCATGAAACTTTGATGAATTGTTTATATCTATTGACGTGAGCTCCCTTTCATTTTTAATAAATTTTAGATTTTAAGTTTTCGAGTTTTGGGTTTTTTTCATTAAAAAAGGGGATTTTCTAGTTTTCGGACAATAACTCAAAAACACTTTCACCAATTTACAAGAAACTTTGGTGAATTGTTTATATCTATTGTGATGAGCTTCCTTTCCATTTTATAAATTTTAGATTTACGTTTCCGAGTTATGGGGTTTTATTCATTAAAAAAAGGGGGATTTTCCAGTTTTCAGACAATAACTCAAAAATGCTTTTAGCAATTTTCATGAAATTTTGGTGAATTGTTTATATCTATTGACTTAAGCTCCCTTTTGATTTTTATAAATTTTAGATTTTACTTTTCGGAGTTATGGGATTTTATTTATAAAAAAGGGGGGATTTTCCAAAATTTTCCAGTTTTCGTACAATGCTTTGAGCAGTTATCATGAAACTTTGGTGACTGGTTTATATATATCAAGATAACCTCCCTTTAATTTTTCATGAATTTCTAATATGACATTGAGAAGTTATTGAACTTTATTCTTTGAAAAAGCAACGGGTGTATCATGCGCTCATGGCGCAGCTGTTTATTGTTCATTGTTCAGCAATTGCAATCAAAAATTCCCGGAAAATTTCTGAATTTACAGATCTAAACTAGAAATTCAAGTCCTATTTAGGAAAATATTGTAGATTGAGAATTTATTTGTTTGTTATTTATTTTTCAGTTAATTATGCAAACCAAAGCAGCTGGACGTCGTGTAAGAAAAAGAGGTAGTGCTATGGACAGATCTGTTGGCAGTGTATCATTGTCGTCTGCCAATTTTTCATCAAGAATACAATCTAGACAGTCAATTTTACCAACGCCAAGATCCATGAGTAAAATGAGCAAGCTAAGCTCATTAACATCATAGTAGAGCATGCAGAATCGTTTTAGGACAATTTGGAATTAAATTGATTGAATTTGATTTAATTCTGTAACTCAGTAGCTCAAATAACCAGACAATTGTGTTAATGTTTTTCCCATTCTATGCATCATATGAAATTTTAACTTTCCATCTAGATACTATCATACAAGTCAACATTTGATGTTGGTGGACTTTGAACCAGTGTTAACAGGCAATGTCAAAATTGGAAATTTGTTAATTTAGAAATTGAATGAAAGAGATAAACATCATAATAATTTTAAAAACTTGTATTTTATTTTTATTTCTAAATTAACCAATTTTCCAACATATAGATAAATTATTTTAATGATTTTTATACATCAGCAGCTTGTATTACTTTAATATTACTTAATTCATAATTTCAGAGACATATATATATATATATATATATATGTCTCTGATAATTTACAGTATTGTAGATAAAACAAATAATTACAGCAAGCAGTATTATAAAATGAAATCAGCATTTTTGCAATATTAAAAGTTGCATTAAAATTAATTTTGTAAACTGATGGAATGTTATCTATAACTGGTATCCCCATTACTAGTAAAGAGAGGACAGCAATTGACAATTAATTGTACAGGTACCAGTTTTATTTTAGGTGTCCTCCTTGTGGTCTTGTTCCAACCAATGCTTCTTTCTTTAGAGACATCATAACTTATGATTAAACTTTTTTAACAATTTACATTAATGATATTTTGTATTCTATGCTGAACACTAGAAAAAAGGGCTTTGCCAATTCTTGCTTTTTTGCTTTTTCAAAATTTCACTGCAGCCAATGTAATAATGAGTTTTAACATTTGTATCATATTGAAAGTAAAATCTTACATCTAAACTTTTTATGATATATGAAGGCCAGTCTGAGTCAGTAATGCAAGATATATAGATATATTATTTTTTATTGGTGATTTTGTATCTTAACTTTTTTCATACAGTTACCTTTTTGAAATTAAAAATTAGATTAAGAAAGCAATTAAGGCTGTGAGCATTACAGTTTACATTTATACTTTGATATGATTTCAATTTTTTAATCATGTTTATTTTTTATTTTGTTCCTCATTTGTTTAACATGTAATGAATTTGTAAGCAGAAGACAAACTGCTGGTAAATTCTAGATTTTATTTTGTTACCTGTGATATTTTAGAAAGTCTGTGATAAAATATTTTTTTATGAATAAACAAAGAAATATGTATCTTGTTATGAATTTAATTTGCTAATGGTTGTTTAATTCAATGTTACAGGAAATATTTGACTTAGTATTCTGTTAATATATTGTACCTTAGGTGCATGTTGCTTTGAATCATTGCAATATAAATAAAATGCTTCTCATGTACTGGTAGTACCTGCATGTGATAGGTCTGCAATATCAGGTTTATGTATTCATTTGAGGAAGTACATGTATGTGTTTGACAAATGTCATGTGGCCTTAAACCCATTTTCAGACTTCCATGGTTTTGACAGATTTCAGTCTGTTTCTTAATATATATGCAATACTGGTCAGCAATACATAGAAAGGAGTAGGTTTGATAAGGCCCTAAAATGGCCCCTAGTTATAGCTGAAATTTGAAATTAGGATTTATTGACCAATGTCACAAGGAATCATAGGTAATATAATGACTTGATTGGACCAGTATTGCATTTATGTTTTTGCGTTCTATTCATGACGTCACAAATACCACTCATTTTGATTTTCCTTGAAATTTGATGAAAACGGGTAAATTTGCGTTGATTTTTTGGAGAGGAAACATAGAGCGCATGCGTCAACAAAAAAGATATTTAAAACTAATGTTTGTTAAGACATTTTACTTATCTGACTTGAATATTTTGTTTGTCGATGCCTACGCTCTATGTTTCCTAGGTCTAAATTTGGTTGAAATCCGGACGATTTTGTCTAATTTCGCAAAAATCTCAAATTTTTAACCCATTTGGGATGTCAAAATCAATGCTTAAAAATAAAACTCTGGCGAACATAGTTCTATATAACTTTCTCACATGTCTTTTCATCATCTTAAAACACATTTTATCCTGAAACATTGAACTTAATAATCAGGGCCAAATTTGGCCCTTACCGAACTTACTCCTTTGTTGTAAAAGTATAGAGGGTTGATTAGCTAGATTGTGGCAGTTGCTGAGGTTAATTGGCTTTGTAAAAGTATAGAGGGTTGAGTAGCTAATTTGTGGCAGTTGCTGAGGCTAATTGGCCATAAACAACTCTTTTTGCTGTGGAAGTACAAACTTGTTCCTCTTTTGTTCCCATCAGAACCTCCTTTTTTTATTTCATCTCCATTTCCTTGATAAAGCCTATTAATATAACTGTAGTGTAAGAAACAAAAAAATTATTAGGTCTAGCCTGTGTAACTAGGCTTCAGAGGTCAACAACATTTACTTCATGAATTTATTAGAAGGATTGTATGTTCATTTTATATAAATTGCATATGACCTTGATCCAATTTTCATGCTCATGTGGTCAATTTTAAGTTTCCTGGATTGGGTCTGTTGCTCAGTATAATTATGCATATCAGATCAACAGTATATGGTGTGTGGATTTATTATGGATTGCCAATGAGACAACTATCCGCCAAGGACCAAAAGACACATCTGAAGTTTAACCTTCAACAATGGAAAAAAAACATATTTTAATGTATCACTTAGTATTCAAAGGTCTACCGTAAACCAGATGTTACAAATGAAGAGACAGCAAACAGAGTTAATAAGTAATAAGTAACACAAAGAAAATTAAATCCACTAGAATATAGCAGAGGTGGATTTAGGGGGACAGGGGACCGAGCCCCCTTTTATGGAGCTTCATATATGATAAATGCATGGACTTTTTACAAGTATCACTCCAAATGTTAGCTTACAACCCCTCCCCGCACCTGTACATACACATGGCTTGAAACAGGCACATAAATTATGTGGTAGGGTTAACCATATTTGTTGCACTATCCGTGGGGGATCCAGGATAGGGTGTTCACCCCGTTTGATTGCCGAAATAAATAAACTACTGTGTCTCACGATTTAGTTTTATCATAAAATCATCCAAAATATTTCTATTATCTATTCCATTTCCGGGAATTAAAAAAAATGCCCCTCTTTCAAAAATCCTGGATCTGCCCCTGAGTCACTACCCTCTTCCTTACCTGAGGAAGTGGCATAACAGCAACACAATGCTTCACACTAAAATTTAACTACAATGGAAATTACTCATTAGATCAGGAACATATATATATACTGTTCCCAGATTAGATTGACACAATGAATGAAAAATGCAAAGAAAAAGCAAGAGGCAAATAGTTACTGAAAATTAGTTAAAAATCTAAGTTCAATTAATATTCTTCTCGGACTTGGGTTCCAATCAGAACATCCCTGAACAGATTTAGCATAAAAAAATCTTCAGGTAATAATAATAATTACTTTGTGAAATGACAACTTAAGTGTAAAAACATTAGCATGTTGGGTCAAATTATGTTTTTCATTAATCTATTGAAATAGAAAAAGCTCTGTTGAATATTTAAAGGTCAAGGGTCAAAGTAACAGTCATAACAATAAAGTGCATTTGTAAATATAATATAACTCCTATACACACCATTCGTCCTGAAGATGCATGAGAAATATTGGCCACTGGAAGTTCAGCAAACATCAATTAATCAATTAACCAAATTTATTTTGAGGTCAGAAAGTCCAGGTGTATGAAAGGTTACTATATAGTAATACAACTTATAAACCCAACAAAGATCAATTCACTTATTTTAAATAATGTGTACACACACACACATACAATATGAACTCAATGTATATCAATCGGGAATTGATCAGTCTAGCTACTGCTGCATAAATAACGTTATAATTCAACGTGTATTTGCGGAGTCAAAATGCATTGACCCTTATACATAATACAGTCAGTTACTGAATATTGTTTGTGACGTGAACAATATGTTTCCGTAGAATTGTCTTTTATATAACGTTACGAAGTAATGCAGGTTCGCGGAATCTTTTACATGTAATCGTCCGCTTCGTGTCCATAATTCACGAGTTTCAACCAAAATATCTTGTTTTGAGCTTTGAATAGGGAATAATCATATATTATCCGAGGATATAACACTTATTTGTACCCGTATAAATGCATAAATGATAAGGTGCATTCGATCTAACGCTAAATACAACTATGTTTTTGTCAGTCAATGTGAACTCCCAATTTCTCCAAACAGAGAATCTTGATACATATAACTTAGAAAGTAACTTTAAGTTCAATAAATCATTTAAACAAAAATATACTGCAAACAGGACGTGATAGTATAACTAAATGGATCACTTAGAAATTATTGTAATAATGTCCAAAGGGAAAGCAAATCGTAAAAATACAGTATCGATACCAGATCTAAAGTGATATAAATGGATTTCTAACATTAAAAGCTACGAAAAACAATCATGGACCATTCACGTCAGACTTTCTTTAAGTCAGTCCGAAAAACTTTAAAAAGAGTTTAGACATTTTTAAAATGGTAAACTGCAACTTGGAGAAAGAGAAGAGACAGCATTCCAGATGAACGGAAGATAGCTACGCATACATAGGTTAAACAGAGTTTGTCTTAACTATATTTTGTTTATTGTACGCCAATTCGATTTGAAAGAAAACTCCTCGACATCAATGCCTATTTGTACCAATTTGTAACACTTCCACTAGTATCAGTTGCATGAATTGTTCCGTATTGTATTTGAGAAACTGATCAACACACATGCAAGCTTGAACAAGTCCAATATAAACAGATCTATAACAATAAAAAAACATGAATTTGGTCGTCGATTTTTTTGCCTACTTAAACTGTTCCACAATTTGTCATGCTAGGGCCTAGAATAGCTTACTATAGGGTATGGATTTGCTCATTGTCGAAAGCCGTACAGTGACCTTTTGTTTCTTTTCATTAGTCATTTTGTCTCTGATTGACAATTTTTTCATTGGCGTCATACCTCATCTCCTTATTTTTGTAATGAAATGAACAAATAGGTTACTAATTTTTTGTTCAATTCACACGTTTGTGAACAGAAGCTAAAACTTAAAAAAAAAATAATAAGGAATGTCGGCATATTGACAAACTAATTATTTCAGTTTTATACTGTTGAATATCAATGGAGAATTGAAAAAAGAATTAGGTTAAGGAATATTAAAAAAAACTGTCCAAACATGAAGGAAAAACTACTTACACTAACTAATACTTGTCACTGCTGTACAGGTGGACTAGAATGAACCGAATAATGATCAATAATGAACTTGTCTTACGATGAAATAGACAAAAACTCTTTATACATTTTGAGTACCACATCATGACATTTTGCATTGATTGTCTGTTCCATTAACTTTTGGAAAACTTGATTGAATATCATTTTTATTATTAAATTTTGACACTCATGCAAATTCAATATAAATAAACAGTACCATATGTACAAAGTATTACAATTGAAAACTATAATCACCTATCACAATATAATATGCTATCTTATCAAAATATTACAAAATATACACCTATAGAAAAGTTGAAAGTATTGCACTTACTGAAAGGAAAAACATATCTAAACCATTTATAATTAGTTCCAAAATACAAATAATGATTAACAAAAGCCAGTATGATCAAATCACAATTCTAATTACCCAGCATGTTCACTTGTGGAGGGCGCTTCTTTGTCTTGTTTCTCTGATTTTCGACTTGCTCCTTCCATCTTGACGTTTTCGGGTCGTATTTTTACATCTTGCTTAAACCACGGAGAACCAAGGAGCTCATAGATATCTGGTCTGTCTTTATAATCATAGGAAAACAACCACAAAATTAAACAACGGCAATCATCTGACACGTTTTTCTTAAACTTTTGCCATGGGAAGTTCAAACGTTTATGTTCCTCTAACACACCCTGATTTCCTTTACTTTCATCGTAGGGCATTTTACCGGTAACAAAAATATATAAAATCACTCCAATAGCCCAAATGTCTGCTTTTCTAGGGTCATAGGGCTCTCCTTTCAAAATTTCTGGAGCAGCGTATGACTTCGAGCCACAGTAAGTTCTACTAAGATCCCGCATACAGTCCTCTTTAACGAAGCCAAAATCACATATCTTTATTGTGTGGGTACCATCTAATAGGAGGTTTTCCAGCTTGAGATCTCTGTGAGTAATGTTTTGTTCATGGAGATATCGTACTGCCTCACAAATCTGACGTGTCCAAGAACGAGCAATGATATCCTTGATAGCTCCATTTCGCTGAATGTATCTTAGAACATCACCATTTTCTGCGAACTCTAATATCATATACACACGTCTACTATCCTCGAATATATCTAGCATACGAATGATATGAGGATGACGCAGTTTAGGCCATATCTCCATTTCACGAGGAAGGAATCTGTGCTGAAAATCTTTCGGTGCTTTTGTTCTGTCTATTATTTTTACAGCAACTTTATCACGATCATGCTTAAAGCAATGTGCATACTTAACTTTGGAATAACTTCCGCTGCCAAGAGTTTGTTTCACTAAATATCCTTTCTTTGCTAAAATGGCACGGTAAGTTGGTCTATAAGTTACGGTTTCATTCCTTGAGGATAACGATCGCTTCACATCGACTTGTTCGAGTTCTGATTGCATAAGCTCGAGTTCTGCAAGTAATTTGTCAGCCTTCGCTGAACTCTCCTCAGCCATCCTCTTCTTGGACCGCTTTTCTGGCAGCATTAACAATTGTGTTTGGCTTGTTTGAATTTACAATTTCCTCATTCTCGAAGCTTGTTATTTTTTTACTGCATTCTCTGTTGACATCAAACATCAAAACGAGACACAATGATTAGAACCATGAGCAACCAAAATGTCGGCGTCATTGTAGCACAAACGTCACTATGGAGGCTGCAGCGCAACGGACTTCCAATAATGTCAGGAGCATAACGTGATCACCATACATAATGTAAGAACTCATTGGATATGGCTGATTTAAAATGAACAAGGCATTGTCCGGTGGAGTTGGACTGTCAGATGAGGAGATAGAACTCAGGAAACGAGGTTACGCTCTTGGAAGCACACTCGGAGAAGGTTCTTATGGAAAAGTTAAAGGAGCGTTTAGTGAGAGTAATCGAAAACGGGTTGCAATAAAAATTATTAACAGAAAGAAAGCACCAAAAGATTTTAGAGAAAAGTTTCTACCTCGAGAATTAAAGATACACGCTAGCTTAAATCATCCAAATGTTATTAAGATGTACGAAATAATGGAATTTCACAATAAAGTAAGTATACTTTGTACTGTATCTGCTTTTTCATTTGTTTAGGTTTTGTGTTTCTCTTTTGCTCATACTATTTGTTTGTCTTTTTTTTTTGTCCGTATCTTCTGAAATTACTACTTACCAATTCAATTATTTATTTTTAATAAAATCAAAATATTAGAGATTCAGCTCTATATTTTTTTTCAGATTCAAATTATTTGCATTTTGGTTTAAGACGCATTTCGATGATAAATGTTACGAAACCACGTAAAACTATTAAAATCTTCAACATCATTATGTAGCGCCAGACAACTTTTGTATTTAATATGTAAAATTATTGATTTTTCAAGTATATTTCTAATAAAATCTTGAATTTTCCAATTAAAAAGCTTTTTACACATTTCTCATTTTAACCCAGTGAGTGAAACACATACAAGAAAACTTTGTCCTTCCTCTATAATAAGTTTAGAATACCAATTTCCCCATATGTGTTTCACTTATGATATCCTCAAAGTTTCGGAAAGGTTTGTTTTTTTGGATTGTCAGACCATTCAATCGGCCCTCGTCTTATTTTGGAGTTAGCAATTAAAAAAATATTTTGTGTTTCAGCGAAGTTTTTATAGATGTGAAAATGAAAGTACATGTATGAAAAATGAAGAAACACATCAATGAGACAGCAACCCAATGACACAATTAACCAACTAGAGGCTCTAAAGAGCCGGTACCGCTAACCTAGGTCTATGTTCATCTTCAACAATGGTCAAAAACACAAAAATGGTAAAAATCGTTATTAAAGTGCAATAACTCAAATAAGACTGTGACTGACAATTTCTTCCATGCTGACTTATTTGTAGATCTTGTCTTGCTGAATCATTTTGTTATTCAAAGTTTCTCTCTATCTTTTTTATTTTCAAGAAAATAGGCAAACTCATAAAAAAATTGATAAAAATCGTTATTCAAAATCAATAAGGAGTTGACTGACGATTTCTTCTTTTAACTCATTTGTCGATCTTGTCTTGCTGATCGTTTTTGCAGCTAAAGTTTTTAACTATCTTTTATAGTTTTTAAGATAAAACACAAAGATGCAATAAAAAAAATTAATAAAAATTGTCATTCATAAGCACTAACTCATATATAGTTTTGTATGGTCTTCAACATATGTCGAACCTTTCATCATTTAAAATCCAGACGAGTTGGGAACGACAGAAAATTCCCGTAAAGTAAAACATATAGGCTCCGTGAAATTAGTTCTTTTATTTTATCTTAACATTGACTTTACAATATCTACAAAAGGAGATATGCATGTTGTATCCGCGATCCTCTATAAATACTGAACGTTTTCGAAAATAAAGTGGGTAATGGCATTGTGTACTTTAACTTCACGAAATCCAAATGATGTTTATAAATTCCCTTCGGCTAAACAAAGACTTTGTCTGTGCAAGGAAGGAGCGCGGAGTGGAATATGAATTTGTGATGTCTGCTCAAAGTTGTCATTTTGACTGTATGAATGAAGTCAATACAACTCGGGGGTTGTCGGAGTGATTTTAAAGGAAATTTGTTGAGGAATTTCTACTTAAATAATATAAAAGTATCAATGTAGCAAGATGAACATTTTAAATACAACAAACCAATATTAATCTGTATTCGGAGCTTATTTCCTCCTTTTTCTTTATTTGAAGGTATTACTTTGTTTTCTTTACTTTCAGGGGCCTCGGTGGCCGAGTGGTCTAAGTAGTTGCTACTGTAATCACTAGCCAGTCAACACTGAGGTTGTGAGTTCTAACCCCGCTCGTGCGGGTGCACTCGACTCCAATCTTAATTGACTAGGATTGTCAGTTTTCCTATCGAAGGTCGGTGATTTTCTCCGGGCACTCCGGCTTCCTCCACCAATAAAAACTGGCCGCCACGAAATAGCCCAAAAGCGGTGCTTAAAAGTGGCGTTAAAAACACAAAAATCAAATCAAATCAAATCTTTACTTTCAGAGGTGCTTTGATCGTTTGAAAAAGCTTTTTTTATGTTGTTTTAGGTATATATTGTATTAGAGCATGCTGGACATGGGGATCTTTTGGAATACATAAAGCTTAGAGGAGCCTTTTCTGATGAACAAGCTAAAGTCATCTTTCGGCAAATTATCCGGGCCATTGATTACCTTCACGACAATAAAGTGGTTCATAGGTAAGTAAAACGTCTTGAATCACATGGTTTTAGAATAGCCTTCATTTATCAAAAAAACATCAGTTGTTAGGCAAGACGGTTTTCTCTGTTCACCAAAAGCTTTTTGAGCTACCATTCCTATTCTTTGACAATTGGAAAATAATAGTTTTACTTTTCGTTTAGTCCAGGGACTTTTCGGGGACTTTAAAAGCCAAGTACATATATATAGAGCAAATGTTACAAAGCAGCCATAGAGACAGTTCACCTTTACTTACCCTCTCCTACCTTTGAGAGCTTGACAGGGTCTTTTTTCTATCGAGTATGCTTGAATTTTAATATTATATAGAATATAGTATATGCTCGATGCTGTACATCAAATGCTACGAGGTCGTTCTTTGACAAATATAAACATTAAGTCGTCGTCCTCACCAATTTCTCACTACAAATGTACAAATGCCAAAACGTGACTTGAAGACAAACAGTACAATGTAAAATCTGGCGGTGGAAGGTTCCGTAAAGTAATATATCCGACTTAAACATTTCTGACCAAAAAGACATAGTTAACTGACGAATTTTAGAAACTGAATACCGAAATTTTAATCATCTGATAATTTTAATGTAGTTGGTAATCATTGAAAAATACACAGATGGCGATGATAATGAGACGGCACTTCTATGGAAGGTCTGGGTGGGGTATACAGAATAGAGAATAAATAGCCAAAAAATTATAATAGAGAAAAATAGGCCAAAATAATAACGAATACAGAATAATGGGCTGCTAAAATATAAAAAAAAAATAGAGAATAATAGGCAAAATTTACAGAATTGAAGGACCCCCACCCCACCCCAATATCTAGATCCTCTTCTATGCATCAACTGGATTGGGCAGTGAATCAAAACGAATAATGATTGTTTTATTACTAGTATTCTGACGCAGCTATTATAGATTGTAGCGCAACATTCAGTTTGCTTCAGCAGTGACGATAGACAAAGCGTGGATGCTTTATCTCAAATTACAGCAGCAGAAGTCCATCTCTCGATTCGTATATCAATCAGTACATGCAGAATTTAAAACAGATAATATTTTCTTAATGACTGTTGTTGTCGTAACGTCCAGTGGCAAGCATTTTCCGCTTAGTTAGAACGATAACAAATTAGCAATAAATTTAATAGGTTTGCTCTGTGGGTAAACGGAACAAAAAGGCCAGAAATTCGGGCTTCCATTGGAATATAAGGATATCATTGACAGACCGGGTGAGAATTTTAGCAGATCACTGAAAAAGTTCTTGTAAGGGTGCTTTAACATACAGAGATCGTAGTATTTCCACCACAAGAGGCATCGAACTTAAGTGTCCCAATTCCAAACGGACGTCCCTTGCAGTGGAGTTGTAAAATTCAGACTGAAAAACTGGAACCAATTTCTAACCCGGGTTACCCTCTATGTTTTTGGTTATTTTTTTAGATTTAATTTTGACAAAATAATGCTGAATAACAATCTGATTAGTCTAAGCATAAGCCCTTTTAAATTAACAAAGATCATAGATGAGATTGTAGCAACCTAGTTTATATCATTATCAATACCTTCTGAATAAGATGCAATACAAATGCCAAGTGAAGGAATGTTTTCGTGTTTGCAAAAATATGTTAATATAAGGTATTGAAGCACAGTTATAGGCAGAGTTATCGGAATTTTTTTTTATTTTGATGACATTTGAAGGTATATATAAGCTATAAAACAACAAGGTGACAACATCTTCCACTGTCGACACTTATTTAAGTTACTTGAGTGTATCGTGAAAGCCGCAATAGTTTCTTTGTTTCGAAAACACTCAACTACGAGCTTAAATTTTCAAAGATATCAACCGTTAGATACAAATTTCAAAAGATGATCATCCAGCTTACTAATCATATTCTTAAGCATTCAAACTTTGTTTTGCATACCAGTAAAAACATGTTTTGATATGTTGTAGGGATATGAAATGTGAGAATATTTTATTGGATCAACGAAATACTGTGAAGGTATCTGACTTCGGATTTGCTCGTGAAAGCGAGGCTGGTGATATCAGTAAAACGTTTTGTGGTAGCGCAGCATATGCAGCACCTGAGATTTTACAAGGAGTTCCCTATCATTGTCCCATGCATGACATCTGGAGTATGGGTGTTATACTATATATTATGGTAAGGTTATGATATAGTACTACGAGAGAATATCAGCATTTTTCTGTGGTGAAATAAATAGAGAATATCATATGGCTTTTTCAATATCACATCCGTATCAACCCGAGACACCAATATAATCCCAAGAGCTCTGCTCGAGGGATTATATTGGTTGAGGGTTGATACGGTGTGTGATATTGAAAAAGCCATATCATATACACTTTATTATATACATATACCTCACGTAGCTGTTTTTTATGTGACATGACGTCATACAGGTAAGGAGGTTTGAATGACGTCATACAGATTATAGGTTTGACATGACGTCATACAGATTAGGGGTTTGATAAAGCCTTTGCAACAGTGACTGCAATCGATGACGTGACGTCATACAGATTAAAGGTGTGATAAAGCCTTTGCAACCGTGCTGATATCGATATCATCACGGGCGGCTGATACAGCACGCTTGCCAATGATTGTATTACACATACAATTTATCTGTATTTACTACTAAGTATATAATAAAACGGTTTAGCCAAGCCTTTTGGCTTTTATCTATGTGGCTCAAAACTACCGGTTTAAATGTGTATTGCTGCTACAAATACATAGGTTTTCAATGAAAATATTAAATATGAAAATTACGATTCCGATTTGGACTTACAAAAAATTATTAAAGGTTTATTGCACTAATAAATAAAATATAAATTTCGGTCTGCACATTGATTTCATAAAATATCAGTTGTGATTATATATAATAAGGATTGCCAATGAGACAACTATCCGCCAGAGTCAAAATGGCGTGGATTAAGCAATTATAGGTCACCGTACGGCCTTCAATAATGACCAAAACGCATACCGTAAAGTCAGCTATAAAAGGCCCCTAACATGACAAAATTGGACTTGAATTCAAACGAAAATCAAACTGTATGATTAATGACAACAGAATAAACGAAAAACAAATATGAACATGACAGACGTCAAACAACGACCTCTAAATTAAAGGCTCCTGAATTTGTACAGGCACGTATAAAATGTGGCGGGGTTAAACATGTTTGTGAGCACTCAACTATTGACGTAACAGCACAATATAAGAACGAACTGTAAAAATCAGCTGTACTTATCATCAGACTTGCACGAAGCACAAAAACAACTAACAAAACGACAAAAAAATGCAAATAAGCATTCTAAGTGTTCTCGTAGATACTGAAAGTTAGTTTAAAGCCAATAACAAGTAAAAGATATTTTTTCCAGACTAAAGTATCAATCGGTTCACATCCAACGGATTTAGTGTAAATATGTCATAAACCCAAAGTCACGAACTTGTGCAATGCTAAAATATAGGTAGATATTATCGACAAGATGTAGGACCATAAGTTTTCTTAACTGTATAGCAATACATATTAAGTTAAAGTGTTTCCCTTTAGTTCTTGATTATCTAGAAGCAAAACTATAATCAAGGTAACGGTAAGTGTTATCAAATTTATCAATTAAATGTAATTAAGACAGATCTTTACTGAGTTTGGCCATAAAATGTGATTCATAACAATACAGGAACAAATCTGCTATATGAGGGGCGCAATAGGTTCCCTTAGCAATACATTCAACTTATCAATAAAGTGTATTGCCGAAACGTACGCAGATGTTGTCAAGGAGAAAATTTACAGATTAAAAATTCTCATCACAGTTCCAATAATAATAACTAGCATATAAACAGTTTCCATTACAGGAGAAGGCATCATATAAAACCTCATTAAACAATAAGTAACCACGTAAAATGAGGGTAGTGTTTTTAACAATTTAAGATAATGAAATGTGTTTATTTACTTATTAATTTTATTGTAATAATACTGGCAAACGCTAAATGAAACAAAAAGATCATGATGCATTTCACTCGACTATGCCTGAAACTTTAGGGCAAAACATGTCAGTTATGTCCAGCGGTTGTCATATATTTTTTTTAAATCTCCATATGTTACCCTCTTTTTTTAAGGTTTGTGCTTCAATGCCTTATGATGATTCAAATTTAAAGAAAATGATTAAAGACCAAATAGAACGAAAAGTTGCATTTTCAAAGTCGAAAAAGATAGCCGTGGAATGTCAAGATTTGATTCATCGAATTTTAGAAGCAAACGTCAAGAAAAGAGCGTCCATAGCAGCCATGGATGAACATCCTTGGATACGTAGTCTAGATAAGGTCAAGGAAAAGGAAAAAGAAACACATAGTTCTGAACGACGTGTAGGAACAGAAGGAGAAAAGTTAAATTTAGACTGGCGTAAAAATGAGGTCAAATCAAGTGCATAGTTGCAATATATGTAGTATCAATTATTATAATCCGTTTTCGGGTTTTTTTTGTACAATTTTTTCATTTCTTGTTTTTTAATAAAATTTTATTTATGTTATAAATAAATGTAGTATTCCATGAACATTACCAAAACAATAATCAGATGATTGACAGACAGGGTTCAAGTGGACAAGAGAAATAAAAAACGCAATACAAACAATCGAACATTAAAACAGTCGAGATTTCTAACTGGCACCTAGTCCTATAATTTAAGCCTTCGTATATCCATATCGTTTGCATTCAATATTTTTATCAGATTATATTTTTTACTATCAATGAGGAACCAAGTGGTTCAACATTGTCAGTAAAAGAAAAATGGTTCAACATTGATAGTTAAAAAAAAAATAATCCGATAAAAACATTGAATGCAAACGATATGGACCTACGAAGGCTTATATCATAGGACTAACTGTCAACCGAGGCACTACACTATTACAGTGTGTTTGTTGGGTTTGGGCAGTGGGGGAAAGAAGGGGGGTCTTTTTTATAATTATTTTTATAAATAATGAAGTAAAAAATAACAACAATTAATCAAAGGGACAAACAACTATACACAGCAAAATATAATAATTATTGAGCAACGGAAAGCCTCCAAACACTTGGGTTGAACTCAGGTGTCCCGAAAGAGGAACACAAATATTAATCAACCAAGCGGCTGAACAAGACGGAGTCGTAATAAATGGTTTAAATGTATACCAGTTGAAGGTCCTGTGGTGCCCTATAGTTGTTCATAAATCCATGTCATTAAGACTCTGGTTGATAGTTGTCTCATTGACAATCATACCACATCCCCTTATACATAGTGACTTATAATTATATTGGTATAAAAAATTCAAACTTTTTGTTCATCGTTAAGTTTTCTTGGTCGCACAATATCAACACGAAATGATAGCCCGAGGAAAATATTCCCATGTCAATACTTTGTCAGTTATTAATTGTAGATTGTCATGGTAATACCTCTAACTGTCTATTTAGTGTAAAAAGTGAAGAAGATGCCAATGAGGCATTCTTAAATCATAAGTCGAAGAAAGAGGGAAAACAGCATAGTCAGGAGAAAAAAACAACAACAGAGAAGACAAATTTGAAACGATATACCCCATAATCATATATTTTGTTTTATTAAATACAATTTTTCTAGATGTTTCAATTAAGCAAATTCTGTCGCTAGAATAATTTTGTTTCATGATGTTGTTTGAAGTCTTCTATGGTGTAAAGCAACCAATATTAGAGTTTATCGCACCTCGGGTAAATTAGTGACGTTGTGATTGGTTAAACGCCGTCACGTGATGACGCAAGGGGTCAGTATATTTCATAGCGGTATCATGACGTCACGTCTACTATTGATGGTGACGTCATCTATTTCATTGTTTATTTTTTTACATAACTTGGCAGGAAAGGTCCCGTGTGGGATAAATTCGTTATACGGTTCACTACTGTCCCCATATGGATCCATAAAGGTAAGTAAAATCCATAGGGGATTCGGCCGAGTTAAATCTCGCAACATGTTTATATGTCTGTCCAAGGTCAACCTCGAAAGAGTTGTCTTTTGTCACAACTTAAGGTGGTACAAACACCTCGACTAAAATTAATTTGGCTCGTTTAATTTTCATAAAATTTTGACAAAATATTTACTTGGACCCTTTGACAAAAATATAAAAATTTCAAAAAAGTTGAACCACACACTTTATCGGAGAAAGGACAAGGTACGATAAGCCCCCGTTTTGCCCCCCCCCCCCCCCCCCCCACCCCCCGGCTATTTTCTCATTTTTCAAATTTTGTTTTGGAAAGCTACTTATTATGTTGAAATATTCCCTTAGGTTTGAAGTTTGTTTGGATGAACTTCAAAACCATTAATTTCAGCAACTAGGTGAATTGAGGGGGGTGAAAGGGCATCAAAAACGCCAAAAGTAGGAAAAATTACGATTTTTGGCCTGTGTATCTTAAAATCTAATAGCGTGCGCCTACGTGACCCGGAGAAAATTATGGCGATCTAGACAGCAAAAACAGTGATAATGACATTGTAATTAAACAATTCCTGGGTCACGTTGGCGCAGGCACTTAAAAACTAAAAAATCGTTGTACTGAACACCTCCAAAGTGAATAATAATTACAATATCTGAATAATAACGGAAAGTTTACCCCCCCTCACCCCACCCAGTTGCTGAAATTAAATGTTTTGAAGTTCATCCAAACAAACTTCAAACCTAAGGGAATATTTTAGCATGATAAGTAGCTTTCCAAAGCAACATTTGAAAAATAAGAAAATAGGGGGGCCAAAACGGGGGCTTATCGTACCTTGTCCTTTCATTGGATATATACCAGTTTGACAAACACTAATTTTGATCATTGAAAAGCTTAATATTTCCTTAATAGAACGTGATTAAAACGTTCAACTGATTTTGACAGAGTTATCTCCCTGTAGTGTTAAGGACCACCTTAATGTTTTTGTTATTTGGAGAATTTGGTGTTATTGGCAGATCTTGTATATTCCCTGATAGATCTCTTCACAACTTGAGTTTTAAGACTGCTGGTATTTTTAAATCTTTACATTTTTTTTTATAAGCCTGTCTTTTGTTGAAGACTATGTGTTGACCTCTAAATGTAATAGGTTATTTGTGTCATTGGGTTGCTGCCTCTAAGAGTTAGTGCCAATTTCCATGAATTCATTTTTTATGTGGGCAATTTCCAAAAAATCTTTCAATCTGTACTAAAATTCATAGCAACACAATGAACACAGCATCATGGGTAAACTTAAGATCACTTAAAGGATCTGACATTATGTTGTCTTATTCAAAGATGTATGCTCAAATTATATATGTCTAAAGAAAGCTAAAACTACCAGTTTTATAAATTTTGGAAAAAATTCCAGTTTTATCAAAGTAATCTATAAAAGGGACCCCAAATAAAAAAAAATAAAAAAAATCAATATTGTATAAAAATTGATGCAGCAATTTAGTTATAGCGGATATCATAATTATTTAAGGATACGTGTAAATAATTGATTTAACATTTCAAGTATATCGTACAGATTCTTTTTTATTCGAGTTCCCGTAAGTTTTGACAATTTTCTGATTTAAACTCTGTCAAGTGGAACAAATACAAGGGAAACTTGCCTTACCGTCTTTTTCAAATTCAAAAAAGCTTGAAGATCACTCTCAGTCATTCAAAAAATGGTGATGCGAAGAAAATTTCTACCTAGGAAAAAAACATTTAACTCTCGATATAAAGCAGCATATACAAATGTAGGTCTCCCGGAAAAATAATAATCAATTTAACTTCAAAAGCTACACAATATCTGTGGATCGATATTTTTACATTTAGTATTAGTATTTCAAATGGTATTTACTATGTTTTACTATACATCTCGACCTATGAGTGAAAATTTGTGCACAACCTTCTCACAGACCAGGAGACAAAATATAAAACATCTAACATAACTTTTACCTTTTTAGCTATACTGATAGATCGCTTTACTCAATTACCCTTATTTCAGTTACACCTTGAATATCATATATCCAAGTAAGTTTAGTAAGTATAGAGACCTGGTATTTTCTGTTGTTGTTGACCTTTTGATTATCTGTTTCGTTTATTACATATACCCCACATATAATTGTATTCACATTTATAAGTTATGAATACTTTAGACACAAGCAAATCTGCTTCATATCTAGAAAGAGGAAACCAATGGACAATAAAAAATCACAAGTACATGAGTAAAATAGCCATAGCCAAAAGAAAAAGGAAAAGAACAAGCAATAATTTTAAAACACTATACACACAAAACTAAAGACTGAGCAGTCGAATGTCAATAACTCGCAGAGTGTGTTCCGGAAAGGAAAGTAGTTCCAGCTCCACAATTGGCCAACACTATGTTTCCGATGATGGACATGATTTTTGGTTATAAAAAATGGGAGATCTGTGACACAAATATTCTGTAAAGGTCGGCCTGATCATTAGGTCGTCCATAAAATTTCTAGATTTTTTTTCTATAAAGATTGACATCGATTGACGACCGGAAAACAAGAAATAAGACAAACGTAATGAATTCAGTATGACTCCATATACCGGAGCAGGTTTTCTTTTCTGGGCAGTGATTTTCCGTATAGAGGCATACTCTTTACTCAAAGCGTTATGCGGAACAACTAAAATCGTCATTTCCCAAGTTTCCCCAGTCGCTTTTGCGATTTAATTGAAAAAAATCTCAATTTACTACAGACGTTTAGAGTCTAACACTGGCAGACCGGGAGATCTCAGAGGGTGTGATTTACAGTGTGGTGAAGCTTTTCAAAGTCAGAGACGCCTAACCATTTTACCCGAAGTTTATTTTTTATATTTGCAAGAACTCCACTCTTGTCGCTGTTTGATTTTAGCCACGCCAATTCAACATAAAAAAATCTTCGGCAACCGAGCTGTCCGCTGTCCACAACAGGTTTTGCAAGACCGAAATATCTCGATCATTAACAACAACACGATATTAAACTAAAAACAGGATGAGAAATGTTAATCCTGTCATACATCATTCTTGTCTATTACAGTCCATTTTACATTTTTTAAAGATATATTTTTATCCTGGTTTATACTAGTAATATTTTAGATGTTGTTTTACCTGTTAAAGCGTGTATAGCAGTACGATACCTTGTTTAACTGGAGTATTTCCGATTATATTCCCTTTAATGCTTGGTTTTTGTATTTGAACGTAACTATGTAATTTGAACTGCCATCATATAAAATACTTATGACATGATTACCTTTCGAACAACATGTGTTTCTGGAATAAATTCATCGACATAAATAGAAAGCCAAATACTTTAGCAGATCGGGCACCCCCTTTATGGAGCTGCCTATATACTTTTACAATTCCCATTCCTAACATGCGTTGTCTTGTTGCTGATCCCATCCCCCCTTTTTAAAATCCTAGGTCTACATTGTTTTTAGAGCCTTAAAATAACAGCCAGAACTGTTTTAGGTCAACTGAGGGAGTTTCAACCTTAGCTACTTAGTTTCCATTTGACAGGCGAATCAATTTTTAATAATACATAAATTCTAATGTTTATAAGTTCCGTTCATTGGCATTTGAAATTAAAAAATATACCAGATATGGTCGAAGCCTTAAATTATAGTATTAACAATGTAGAATTCTATTGATGGAATAATCAGGCAGAGACAAATATCTACAACAGGTATCTACGTTCCTCAGAATCGATAAATCGTTATTTACCTATTAGTTTTCCAATACACAACGGATACCTGTTTAGCAGGTACAGCGTTTGAATTATCTCTGTTTTATAAAATCCAGTTGAGCGGCTGTACCCCAGTTGAGTGGCAATCACCAACGTAAACATTTTGTGTCACATGAAAAATTATTACGTTTTTTTCTATACTGTTATCAACGGAATTTATAAATACACATCAGTATTTCATAACGGAACTCTTTTGATGAATATGACTGATTCCTTTTGTACATCTAGATAAATAGTTTAATCAGTGGAAACAGGATTTTATCAGTAGAAGTAAGATTTATTTTAATTTACATCACAGAATAATTTTCATAAATGAAATAGATATTTCAAGTTTATATTAATTTACGGACATTTTTCTTTTTTTAATGTAAGCAAATATCGGTCAATTTTATACATGAAACATTGACCGAATTGTTTACTAATTAACTGTAATGACGCAATAGAATCATACACATATATATTCTAAACATTTATAAACATCATGGCCTATTTACTATTTTATATATTTCCTCGCCGAATTCTCTAGAATTCATCTTTAAGAATAAACAAACGTAACAGATGATTCTCATGGTTACAAGAGCGCAATTATTCGTAATGCATTTTCCATAGGGTACCACTGGTGTTCCGTATTTTTTTTCTCGAAGACTACATAAACTAGGGAAAAACGGATTGCAGTTCCTGTTACTAGAAATGCCAGTGTTGCATTACAATCAAAAAAATATATAGGGTCATGCGGCAGAAATTGACTTAAAATGCAGTTGAAAAAGATCGTCTATTTTTTTCGCTTAATGAAAAAGGCATATTTTTAATGGCTCCGACGTGCAGAAATGGAGGATATTTTCTATACTTCGTAAAATGTGAATATGATTTTCTGCAATTTTTAAACCTAATTGGATAAGCTTTCGATTAAATGTAATTCCAATCCTGTATCATCCAATCAGAAGACGTATAGGATTCTATTCTGAGTACCATCTTGGGGTAAAAAACGTAAAATGTAAACAAATAATTGCGCTCTTGTAACCTCATATCGCTGTCTAAAAGACACTCCTACAAAATTTGATTTAAACAAAAAATATTCTGTTAAATCGAGGCATATGATACCTATTGACGATGAAAATGTACAAGAATGATAAAGTATATAATAAGTTTATAATATATTTCAAAACTTTTAATGAAATTAGAATTCCTCAAATAATATTGCGTAATTTTATCAACAATATTAGCCTAGTTTGGGCCTTACAGATCTTTAATAACCCATATGCATTCCTTCATAACAATATCTTCGTAAAAATACAAATTAGACTAAAAGGCTAAAATAATTAAAATGTTTTGTAAGAACTGTATAAGTCTACGTAAATATATTGTGTTTCATAATCGATTTACCACTTTGTACTAAGGAAACTACTGAAAATATAAAGGTCTATACTTTCCCTGGGGGGGGGGGGGGGGGGGGAAACCAGACTCATTAACACACAAAGAAAGCAATACACTTCGTATGATTTCAAATAAAATCTGACTAACCAGTTTTAACCAGAGAAATTCAAATGCGTATTTCCTTACATCAATAATAATATATCTGCTTTTTTGTAATATTATTTATTGAAAATTGTACCAATTTTTACTGTCCGTACGGAAATCTGTCGCATACATACTCAAAACTGTGTCAATTGGACCTGCTTTGATACGATAACTGCACTTGAATTTTCACTAGAAAAACATTTTTGTTCGCTATGGAGATTCCGTATATCGTCAAGTTATCGGAATTCCAATGGGGACTAACTGTGCACCACTTATTGCGGACCTGTTTCTGTATTGTTATGAGTTACAATTTATGACTAAAATCAGCAAAGACCCACCGAAACAGCATCTGATATAAAAATTTAATAACACTTTTAGATATTTGGATGATATATTGGCTCTCAATAATGACGACTTCAGTGTGTACACTAAAGAGATTTATCCTGTTGAACTGACTTTAAATAAAGCTAATACTAACAATGAACACTGCCCTTTCCTGGATATTGATATCTATATCTTTAACGGGAAGCTTGATACCAAAATTTACGATAAAATAGATGATTTTTCTTTTCCTATTGTTAATTATCCATTTTTAGATGGTGAAGTTCCCTTGTCACCATTTTATGGTGTATCTCAATTTGTTCGATTCGCTCGTGTATGTAACAACGTATTTGATTTTAACGAAAGAAATCTCTGTATTACTGAAAATTTATTACACCAGGGTTTTCAATATCACAAACTAGTCAAAACATTTACTAGATTTTATCATTGGTACAAGGACATCATTCGTAAATATAAATCAACATGCAGACATCTTATACGTTCAGGTATTTCACATCCAATATTTTATGGTAATATTCTTTACAATCTCAAAAATGTCGTCATTCACCTCAAAAGCTAACCAAACCTTTAAACAGACTTATTCAGAAGGGATATAGTTACGATACTGCATGTTGTCAGGTCATAAAAGATGGCATATTTTGGAATTAATATTGATTCACTCATAGGGTCTTTGCATCGGAAATAAACACATTTATTCTAAAACCAGTTTTTTGGCATGATACGGGTTATGTTCTTCTCATATATTTTATGATACTACACTACCAAGAATTTACCCACGTTTTTTTGGTACATTTCTACCCTCGTACATATCAGTACTGTTTGATGAGATTAAAAATGTGTAATGTTATACTTTCTATTATTTCAGTACTGTTTATTATTATACAATATCTGTACCGTAACTAATTCTATAAATTCAGTACTGTTTTTTTCAGTACTGTTTCAGTACTGATTTCGTCAGTACTGTTTCAGTACTGATTTTGACAGTACTGTTTCAGTACTGATTTTGACAGTACTGTTTCAGTACTGATTTTGTCAGTATTGTTTCAGTACTGATTTTGTCAGTACTAGTTCAGTACTGACTTTGTCAGTAATGTTTTAGTACTGATTTTGTCAGTAATGTTTCTGTACTGATTTTGTCAGTAATGTTTTAGTACTTATTTTGTTAGTATTGTAATTGTACCGATTTTATTAGTCCTAGTATTGTACTGATGTTTGTCATTTACTTTTTTAGTAAATACTTACTTTTTAGTGCGCACCTTATCCATATATCAAAAATAGTTGTTTCTTTAGGTATAGCTGTAGCAGTCGATTTGGTGTGGTTTATCTTTTTAATCTGAATGCATATTGTTTCAAAAAATATTGGGAACTGAAAACTTATAAACTAAGTAAGTATAGTATGGTATATTTTGACATGTTGATGACTCTTTTTTATATTTTTTTATATTTTGTATCTTGTGTAGACATCGCTGATTCAGTGTTGACCTCTATCATAAGAGAAATTTTGACAAATGTGCATCTGAGTACAATTGGTATCCAAAAATAGGTTGGATAATTCTGTGACTATATTATTATACTCCTCATTTAGCTGGTTACATATTAAAACTTATGGTTTTTCTCTTCGACTATATCACTCTACTGAGCAGGAATTTTTGGCGACGTGAAAATGACTGAGGAAAAGTATCAAGCTTACTTTCGTCTATCAAAAAACTATTGAAGTGAAGGGAAAAACAACAAAAATGAAGCAAGATAAGCAGTTTATCAGATTTTCTCAAGGGAATTGTTTACCCTTTAGAAGCACATGAATTCATTCCCGGTTTTTAGTCGAGTTGGTATTGTTTCTTTTTATGTATTTTAACTGTTGTTGTAAATGCACTTTGGTTTTATGAGTCTTTGTTTACTCCTTGATTTTGATTGCGACTGTCTTTCTGTGTTTAAAAAAAATACGCAATCGACACCAGAGAGATTTACATTGTGGTTCGAGGCTGATATTTTACAATATCAATGTGTATAAAACCGCACAATTTATACAAATATCTAACAAGATAAGAATCTTCAATACTGTTCATTTTTGGTATTTTGCTATTGCTTAAAACATGTTGACATTAATGATTCCATATGTTAATATGTTAGGCAATGTATTGTAATTAACATAAAACAATGTCTCATCTCCTTTTTTTTTATCATAACTATTTCTTTTATTTATCATCACAATTGTTTTAATATAATAATCTTTATTGTCAAATAAACATATGAAGTCTGTGACAAAAATGTCAATCATTTTCATGCCGATAATTTGTAAAGTTGCAAATGATTTTTCTTTCATATTTTCCTTTCAGAGTAAGAATACTTGAAATACTGGGAGGATTATTATGAGAAAATTAAGATAATGCCTTTACCAAGTTAAGAATATGACGGTTGTTTTCCATTCGTTCTGCTATTTTTATGTGCTTTAGCGTTTGGTTTTGCCAGATGTTTATGAAATTTCCCCGCTTTTTAAAATTTTTCAGAGTTCAGTATTGTTGTAATCTACTTTTAGAAACATAGTTTGTAATCTTGATTTTTGGCAGCAGCAGACTTTATTTCATATGGATGTACCAGTGACATTTAAGTTTTTTTTTATTTATGTAAAAGCTGGCAAACATGGCGTATTCTTGCTATGTAGCAAGTTTTTGGTGAATTTAAAAACAATTTTTCATAAAATATTGCCTGCAAGCACCACTACATTTTTTTTATATAACGGTGGAATAAGATTCGCACATTTTAAATTATTTAAAGAATATTTCTGTTGATATATATTAAGTACAACATATAGTTAAATTCAGCAGAAACTTAGGATACAATTGTACTATATAACCCCTTGATTATTTTATGACCCTTGTAATTAAGGTTCATAAATAAAACAATCAAAGAAACACTTAATTTTGCTTGTATCATGTTTTATTGCTCTCCCCCTTTGCCATCTTTTCTTTGGAATGCTTTATAAAATGTCAGTTTCCTGGCTGGTGTCTTTTCCTCAATTCAGTCTCACATATGATGTGTCTTGCTACATGTAGATTGGTAATTCCAGCGGACTCCCTAGTTCTAATATGAGCTCATTACAAGCATCCATCTTTTATGTTTTGGTACTTGTACGAAACTCGGAATTACATGGTTTATGATTAAATATTGTCTTTTCTGATGAATGCCATATTAAAATACATCCTTCTGTATATAGGTCTTTAATTTTCACATCGTACGTTCCCATTTCAACGGCTGTCTTCTATGCTGTTAATCATTCTGAGAATTTATTCCTAAATAAAAAAAGCAAAATATGATAATTAAATCCATCAACCTCGAAGTATTGGTGTTTGCCAGTGACAAATATTTCATGCACATGTAGCTTTAACCATCAGTCTATTTATGTGCTCTTT